GGGGGGGGGGGGGGGGGGGGGGGGGGGGTGGTAGGTTTCCCTATAAGCCCTTGTTAAACCAACAAGGCCACCCTAGTACAACCCTAAACCCTAAACCCTACTACAAGTCAATATGCCGGGTTTGGTGCTTTGGTGTTCGTTGGGCTGAGGGTTTGGCGTTAACCGGGCTTCAGGATGCCACATACCGGCATTCGTCCCTAATCATATTCAATCCCCGATATAAGGAACCTAAACCCTAAACCCTGAACCCTATATAGACCCCCTCAACCCCAAAACCCTAAGCCCCAAACCCTAAACCCTAGACCCTAAACCCTAAACCCCAAACCTCAAACCCTAAACCCTAGACCCTAAACCCCAAACCCCTAACTCTAAACCCCAAAACCCCAAACCCTAAACCCCAACACAGCTCCCTGAGCTGAGGCGATACTACAGTCCCCTGATCTTCTGGGTGGCGTTCATCGTCTTGGAGCTCGTCACGGGCCTCAGTTGCTCTGAGGGTAGTTGCATGGTTTAGGGTTTAGGGTTTAGGGTTTAGGGTTTAGGGTTTAGGGTTTAGGTCTGAGGGTAGTATCATGGGCCCTGAATATGGTTTTCTAACCTCCTTTGAAGGGTGATGCATGGCCCTTAGTTTGTACAGGGTATAGGGGTATGTAAGGGGTACCCGTCTAAGGGCCCATACTGAGGGACCATGGAAGTACCGGGAGTTACGGCTCGGAAGCCCCGAGCCCCCCACATTGTCTGTCGCTTTAGGTGTTCAGGGGCCTAGGGTTTGGAACTAGGGCCTAGGGTTTAGGGTTGAGGGTTTAGGGTTGAGGGTTTGGGGTTTATAGGGGTTTAGTTGAGGGTTCAGGGTTCAATATACCGTATAACACACACAAAAGAGCGCCGCCCTTATCTTGAGTTCAGTCTATTCCTTAAGGACGGGGGCGAAGGGGGGTTGAGAGCTTTCTAGTTTAGAGTTTACTTAGGGTTCCCTAAACCCTAAACCCTAAACTCTTAACCCTAAACCGACTCTCAACAGGTCCTCCTCTACGCGCTCGGATACCTCGACGAGCTGACGGATCGTTGGGTTTTTGCGGCCTGGGTCAGACCTGAATGAACCCTCAGAACAGGGTTTAGGGTTTGAGGTTTGGGCCTGGGGTTTAGGGTTTCGGGTTTTAATCCCAAAGGCCTAGAACTCCTAAAGGCCTCCCGACACCCTAAAGAAAGCCTAGCTCAGACAGGTTAAGGCCGAAGAACTTCCCGAAAGCCTAAAGTGCACTTTGCCCTAGTTCCGCCTTCAGATGCCCCAAATACCCCCTCTTACGGTGCCCTTGGAAAGTTAAACCCTGAAACCCACCAACCCCACACTCTACACCCTCAAGCCGACACCCAACCCTAAGGTATCCTTCCAAGCTCATAAAGGGATGGGGGGGGGGGGGGGGGGGGGGGGGGAGGGTTCCCCTAAACCCTAAGCCCACTTTGGGGTTGAGGCTTTAGGGGTTGCGTAGTCCGCCTCATGTTCCGTGTCGGCACCCTGAAGTTTCGAGGGTCCACAGTGGGCCTGTTCTATATCCCCCTTGGGGTTTTTTTCACATAAAACCCAAGAGGATATTAAACGTTATGATGGTTCTAAGGGGAGTATAGTGTTGTTCCCTCTTTGGGTGCTTGGGGTGTTGGGTTGTCGGGTTCCCCCCCCCCCCTCTGCCGAACATGTTAAAGTTTGGGGATTAACTAGGGTTTGTAAGGTTTAGGGTTTAGGCTTTAGGGTTTCATGGTGAGTGCACCTAAGCAAATCCTGAAAGACCCTAAACCCTAAACCCTAAACCCTAAACCCTTATCACCTGCGAGGACCAGATCGTGGAATATGGAGCTCTAGGTCTCACCCTGGTGGTGCCTTGGCCCAGGATTTAGGGGGGTTTAGGGGTTTAGGGGTTTAGGGGTTTAGGGTTTAGGGGTTTAGGGTTTCGGGGTTTAGGGGTTTAGGGGTTTCGGGGTTTGGGGGTTTAGGGGTTTAGGGGTTTAAGGGTTTAGGGGTTTAGCGTTTAGGGGTTTAGGGTTTTATTCCGCTCAGGGTTTACAGGGTTTACGGGGGTTTCAGGGTTGAAGGGTCTTAGGCCGGTCAGCCAGGGGTTTGGCGTTTGCGGATCGAGGGGCGTTTTGGGGTTTAGCCCCATAAACCCTGTATAAACCCCCATAAACCCGATAAACCCTGTAAAAACCCTGTAAACCCTAAACCCTATAAAGCCTATATAAACCCTATAAACCCTATATAAACCCTATAATAAACCCTATAAACCCTATATAAACCTCCCAGAGCCCGGCACTGGCACCCGGGATTCGAAAGTCCAAGGCGCATGGTCTCCAGAAGCCTCACCCATCAGCCCCTCAACCGCCGAGTGCCCAACTGCAGGGCTTCGGGCGGTGTAGGCGGGCTTTAAGGGCCAGCTTTAGGGGCCTTAGGGCTAAGGTTTAGGGCTTTAGGAGCCTTAGGGTTGTAGGGTTTGGGGTTCACTGGCTTAAAGTTTTTGGGGTTTAGGGTTTAGGGTTTAGGGTGGACGTGAGAACCACGGCCCCTAAGGCCCAAAACCTTCAAGTCCGCTCTCTTGAGGCCTTGGTGACGACGGGCTTCGCCACGGCCTACATTCGCGTGGAGGGGATTTTTACAGATCTCTTCCACCTCGGCCAGAGGTCCGCTGGGCTAGAACACTTACAGGGTTTAGGGTTTAGGGTTTGGGGTTAGAACAAAACTCTCAGGGTGTAGGGTTTAGGAAGTTTAGGTCGTTGTTATTTGTGCCCACCTAGCGGGTATAAAGCATATTTTGGAACCCTAATATCCCCTTGTTGTTAAGCCCCCCCCCCATAGAAGTTCTTCTAAGCTTTAGAAACGGAAACCTACTTGGAACTCCCCTCTGCATGCTGTCCTTAGCTTGGGGCGACTTGGAAGGCGTAGGCTGTACGTGGGTCTAGCTTCTCTTGCCCAGCAACCCCAAAGTTGGGATGTTCCCCCTTATACTTACAGTCCTTCATAGGGATTATAATTGGTGGGGGGGGGGGGGGTTCTATAATCCCAATTACGGGCTGTTAGTATAAGGGGGAATATCCCTAAACCCTAAACCCTAAAACCTAAAACCTAAAACCCTAAACCAACCCGGGGATGATGTGGCGGGCGCACTCGGCCATCCTCGCCTCCCGACGGTTAGGAGTTGTGGCCTGCTGTCGGCCATGTCAAAAGCGCCGGTGCACCCTGACCCCTAAACCCTGAGCCCTAAACCCTAAACCCTAAACCCTGAGCCCTAAACCCTACACCCTAAACCCTGAACCCTAATCAAGACACTAAGCCCTCGGCTTAGGGTTTTTTAAGGTTTAAGGTTGAAGGGTGACTGAATGTTTTTGCGGTCCCTTAATCTGTGTCCTTCATTGAGGAATCCTTATTCCCCTCATATACCCTTCAAAGACCGGTTTAGGGTTTAGGGTTGCCCCAGAGCCCATAATTCAGAACAGTACCCCTTGACGAAGGTAAGGGGGACCATCTAGCTACCCCTGGAGTTTCAAAAGAGCTGTGGAGGAACCCCCCTTCCCCCCCCTTCAAGTTTAGGGTTTAGGGTTTAGGGTCTAGGGTCTAGGGTCTAGGGTTTAGGATGTGCAAGGACCCTTCAAGACGTGGAGGACATCATCAAGCAGGCGGCTCTGACCTGTGAATCCCTAAACCTGAAACCCGAAACCCCTGAGACTCCGAAGTAAGCAGTCGTTATAGGAGAATACTTTTCCCGAGACAACCCCCCCCCCCCCCCCCCTCCCTCGCAACCCCAACCGCACTTAAGGGGCCCAAAGCCCACAAGCCCGAAACCCTACCCATACCTAAGATCTAAACCCCACAAACCCTAAGCCCTAAACCCTAAATCCTAAACCCTGCCTAACATCTAAGCCCTACAAGCCCGAAGCCCTGAACCCAAACCCTAAACCCGAAACCTGAAGCCCTAAACGCTACCCCTGAGGTGGAGACCTGTCAAGGCTGTAAAGGCTGCCGGACGTGGACATGGTGGCCCGGGGCCAAGCTACCCCAGAACAGCTCCTCAAAAGAGCAGCCTCCTCAACGTTTAGGGTTTAGGGTTTAGGGTTCAGGGTTCAGGGTTCAGGGTTCAGGGTTCAGGGTAGATATTCTCAGTATGGTATATTGAAACGTTGTGGGGCTTCGGGTTTAGCATGTTGATGCGGGGAACGGGATGAGGGTATAGAGTCGCTTACAGGGTACAGCTTCCAGGTGCCGGGCTCTCGGGTCTTACTGTGGGAGTTTCGGGCTCTGTAGGCGGTTTAGGGCTTCAAAACCCAAGCTTGCATACCTCCCAGACCCTAAACCCTGAATGCTTACCATCCTCCCTAAACCCTAAACCCTAAACCCTAAACCTAAACCCTAAACCCTAAACCCCCTGAACCCTCACATGGACACTGCTCGAAAGCTCCCGATGCGTCGGAGCCTTTGAACTCTTGGAGGTTGTCATTCGGGTTTTAGGGTTGTTTAGTTTCGAGTGGCGAATGGCGACGATCAACTTAAGGAGATACGGGCGGGGTTTATGAAAGCAAGGAGCCCCTAAACTCTAACCCCCACGCCCAAACAAAAAGAAGGCAGCCTGTACTACTCTTAAGTAACTTAGGGGAACCCTGCATGTCCTCAACGCTCAACCCTTAATCTGCTTCCCCCCCCCCCCCAGCTGTGTAAACGTACGCGGTATGGTATAATATGCCAGAGAGCCCGATACACCTAAATCAAGGAATTCGCCCTTAAATCTTACTTTGATCCCATCCCATTAAGGCATCTTAAAGTAGATTCCATAAATGGGGGCGTCGGGCTCTCTCGGCATATCATACCTTACCAGAAATTCCTCACACTGGACCACTCCTTTCACCCTAATGGAGTCCCCCAAATAGTAGGACTCCCTTGTTTGGGAGCCCAATAGGTTCCCCCGAAATTCGGCAACCCCCATATCGAATGACAATGCTCAACTTCAAGAGATACAGAGGCTCCAAAGTTACCAGGCGGCTGGGTTGAGGGGCTCCGTACAACCATGCCTGAAAGTCTGCTGGACCTGCACGCTAAGGTTGGGCTGATAAGGTTTTTGGGTTTAGGCTTAATCACAGAATTACCCCTCTGTAAGGATTACAGGGTGTTTTTTCTGAGCACGGACGGACATCACCTTGGGCAGTTGAAGTGAATCTTTGGGGTTTAGGGTTTAGGGTTTAAACCCAACAACCGAGGAACAATCCGAGCGGCACACGCTGAGCATGCCCATGCTGTGTACCCGAAGGGCCCAAGTACCCGCAGTTGTAGTATACACTTACATTTGGTACTCAAGCTACTAATATGGGCACCCGTTTAAGGCCCAAGTATATACTCAAGAAGTACATGGACCCTTGGGATACAAGGTTTCACTCGCCCCAAAAAATGTCCAAGTGCAGAATGCTGGTCATAGAGCGGCAAGGCTGCTTCTTGGATGCCCACTTGCGAGACAAGCTTGCAAGCGTGTACAGAAATTCGTGACTCTAGGATGCCCGGGCCCAGTAGGTCCCCTTTTTTTGGGGTTTAGGTTCCTTTCAAAAAAGAAGGGCACCCTTCTTCATCCTAGGTTACTGGGAGGCCTAGGCCTAAACCTTAAACCCTAAACCCTAAACCCCAAACCCTAAACCCTTCGTAATCCTAGGTCACTGGGCAACCTAGGCCGGGTTCCGGCAGCGATAAGAATTTGCAGCAGGATCGCCACCGGGCCGCTCGGCCATGCGACTCGCCAAAGTTCGCGCTGAAAGCAGCATGCGGGTTTCAAGGCTGGCTTTGTTACCCTAAACCCTAAACCCTAAACCCTTAACCCTAAACGGCTCAATGAATCCCGAGCTTGGTCTCATAAACATACACCCTTCTACAGTACTGTAATCTCCACTAAGGTATGTGGACCCACAAAGCTTTGAGAAGCGTTGTGCAGGGGTAGGTTTGCGCATAGTTTGTAGCTTTTTCTTCCCTTAACCCCCTAGATTATCCATATAAAGCCATCTCATAGGGCCCCCCAAACCTACCCAAGTGTGGGAGGAGCAGGAGAGGCGGAAGAACGCAGTTGGACGCAGATGAAGAAGTGTAGCAACCCTAAACCCTAAACCCTAAACCCTAAACCCTAAAGAGCTTACAGGTTCTGGGTTCAGGGCTTTGGGTGCATGGGGTTTAGGGCCTTATAGGGCTTAGGAGACCCTGAGGCCAAAAGTCCTAAACCCTAAACTAGGCTTCAGGGTTTAGGGTTTAGGGTTTAGGGTTTGGGGTTTAGGGTCTAGGGTCTAGGGTTTAGGGTTTAGGGTTTGGGGTTTGGGGTTTAGGGTTTGGGGTTTGGGGTTTGCGGTTTAGGGTTTGGGGTGCGGGTTCACGCGCAGGCGGGGGTCAAACCCAACCTCCGTTGAAGAGTTGTCTTCTTGGATATCCTTAGCTTCCCATCTAGTGCCTAAGTCCTAACCCTAAACCCTATAACTCCTAAACCCTAAACCCCAAGCCCCCAATCAACTCTTGGAGCTGGTTATATGAAACTAGTTCCGGGGATGCTGCGGGCCTGACGCGGTGCCTGTGGGATGCAAGCAGCCCTCATAAGTTCAGGCAGTCCCCAAAAACACTGAGCCCGCTTCTTGGGGCGGAATGTTTAGGGACCCTAAACCCTGAACCCTATTCCCTAAACCCCATAAACACTGAGCCCGCTTCTTGGGGGGGGAATGTTTAAGTACCCGAAGCCCTGAATCCTAAACCCTTATAAATCCCATAGACACTGAGCCCGCTTCTTGCGGGGGGGGGGGGGGGGGATGTTTAAGGACCCGAAGCCCTAAACCCTAAACCCTGAACCCTGCAAACACTAAGCCCGCTTCTTGCGAGGGTTTGTTTTGTGAGTGTCATGAGCAGTCTGAGGCGCCAACCGAATGTCCGAGGACGCTTATCTTGTCTCCAGCATGGGCAGAGGGGGAAGGTTAGGGACCCGAAACCCGAAGCCCTAAGCCGTAAACCCTAAAACCTAAACCCTTAACCCTAAACCCTTAACGCTTAACCCTTCACCCTTAACCCTTAACCCTTAATCAAGGAGTTCCATAGCCATTCCGCCTCGCTCTGGGTGCTGCCTCGATTTTGGGTGCTGCTTCAGCGCGTGGGCTTCGCGCTGAAGCAGCACGCTGAAACTGAGGTGGAACGATAGTCGAGGTGGCACGCTGTGAAAATCAACTGGGTTTCGCTAGAAAGGCTATTTTGCTTGAGAAGAAACATGCCAGGCCAAATTCCCGTGCCAAATGAATGCTGCCTCGATTTGGGTGCGGTGGAACGATACTTGAGGTGGAACGGCTAGGGAAACCCTTGACTTAAGCCTTCACCCTTAACCCTTAACCCTTAACCCTTAACCCTTAACCCTTAACCCTTAACCCTTAACCCTTAACCCTAGCCCTAAACCCTAAACCCCGAACCGGAGAGGGACGAGACCAGGTTGCGGGGGTTCCGGGCTTCTCTTCATGGTACACGCACCCTAAGCCCTAAACCCTAAACCCTAAACCCTAAAGATTCCCCGGGGGCTAGGGTGTTTTATGTTGTTCATGGGGTTTAGGGTTTGGGGTTTAGGGTTTATGGAATTTAGGGAATTTAGGGTTTCGGGTTTAGGGTTTGGGGTTTAGGGTTTAGGGTTTAGGGGCTCTTAAGAAGGAATGTGATGTGGGAATAAAGGTAATCCATGTATATATAATCCCTTGTGATGGGTATATGTAGCGGGATGTTGGGCTACGTAGCTCCCTACCCAAGAACCCGCGAGTAGTTCCGTGCTTTTGGGTTATGCTTTATATTGCTTGGTGGTCTCTTTAAGACTGTTTTGTAGGGGGTGGTTAATTGGGTATCTAGAGGTTCTATGAAGGTATAAGGGTAACAGATAAAAGAGGCCACCGGCCTTAGAAGTTATGCTTTAGGAATAGGGTTTAGGGTAGGGTTTTGGGTTTAGCGTTTAGGGTTTAGGGTTTAGGGTTTAGGGTTTAGGGATTAGGGATTAGGGTTTAGGGTTTAGGGTTTAGGGCTTCGAATTTCGTCATTTGGGGTATTGCTGAGGATTGGGTTCGCATTGTTATTGGAGGGTTCTCAGCGCTCCCTGCGCGACTTGTGTGTGACCATCTCAAGCCTAACCCTAAACCCTAAACCCTAAACCCTGAACCCTAAACCCTAAACCCTTGTAGGTAGCCTATAAGACTAAGCCCTAAGGACCCCCTTTAAAGCCCTTTTAAGCCCCAGAGCCCATACTTCAGACCCTTCAAAGAAGGTAAGGTAGAGTTTTGGGTTAAGGGTTAAGGGTTTAGGGTTTAGGGTTTAGGGTTTAGGGTTTCGGGTTTAGGGTTTAGGGTTTAGATAACTTCCCTAATTCTAAGCTTTAAAACTCAAGACCATAACCCGCAGCGGAGGACCATGAGGCGCTGGTGAAGAACCTGAAGCTCCTCCTCTTGTCGAACAGCAAAGGCTTGGGGGCTTGGGGTTTAGGGTTTAGGATTTAGGGTTTAGGTTTTTGAATTTTGGGCTTAGGGTGTAGGATGTGTTTGGGTTGTAGCCCAGGCAGTGCCGTTTTCTCTTTTGGGCGGCGGCTATCTAAAAAACAAAACAACCAACCCCGCCCCCCCCCCCCCCCCCCCCCCCCACCCTAAACCCTTTTGGCTCCTCAGGGCTCAGTGAGGAGCTTCACACGTTACCCCCACAGGTCCGTGTACCCATATAGAAAACTCTTGGGCCCTGAAGCTACTCTATGGGAGCTATGGGAACCCCTTTAAGGCCCAAGAAGATTCTATCAAATCCTATACCTTAAGCCCTAAACCCTAGACCCAGAAAAGCCCGGCTCACCCGACCAGGCGTCACGCTGGCAGCGGCAGTGGCTTTGTGCTACCTTGCCCCACCCGAGGTGGTCCCTCCCGCCTAGGGACCTGTGGGCTTCAGGGTTTCTTGATGAGGTTTCCATGGCATCCATACATATACTTCTAAACCCTAAACCCTAAACCTCAAAACAACTTAAACAGGGCTTTGCAAGGATTATGTCTGGGTTTAAGGGGTCCCTTATGGTGGCTTGCCCTGCTCGCAACGTTTGCATTGAGAAGCCTACAGGGGCTTCTATAGGGGTCCAGAAGGCTTATATGGGCTTCAGGGCTGCCCGTGTTTCGGGGTTTAGGTTTGGGGTTTAGGGTCTAGGGTTTGGGGTTTAGGGTTTAAGGCTTAGGGCTTAAGGATTTCGATGACCCAGCAGGTCATGGCTTTCGGCCCATATCCTAAAGGGATGGGAAGAACAAGCGCCTCATCATATGTGGCTTCTCTGGGGTCTAGCCAACATGAGGTAGTGGCAATATGAGGTAGTGGCAGCCCTAAACCCTAAACCCTAAACCCTAAACCCTAAACCCTAAACCCTAAACCCTAAACCCTAAACCCTAAACCCTAAACCCTAAACCCTAAACCCCAAACCCCAAACCCTAAACCCTAAACCCTAAACCCTAAACCCTAAACGCTAAACCCTAAACCCTAAACCCTAAACCCTAAACCCAAACCAGACAGCAATCTTGGGACTTCCTGCGTTCACAGCGTATTCTGACCCTAATTGCAGGAGCTCAGCTGCGTCACAATGCCGCTGATGCGCTGTTTCCGTCAGGCGGGCCAGCGTGTGTTGCCCGAGGCCCTCAACCCTAAATGCGCGTGTTTAGGGTTTGGGATTTATGTTTTAGGGTTTAGGGTTTAGGATTTATACTACCCTAAATTTCCTGAACTCCCTAAACCCTAAGCCAGTTAGGAAGCTGCTTCTCAGGGTTTGGGAGGCTTATGTGGGTGTAAGGGTTGGCGTGACTTCTGGTCGTGCTAGGGACTTAGGGTTTCGGCGTTTATGTGGGGGTTTACGAGATTAGGGGTACCTTTTTGGGGTCCTTATTGTTAAGGGGATCCTACTATTTCGGGGTCTGTTTTAGGGGTCCCTTAATTTCCCCCAGGTGGGCTTGTGTCATGGGTCTTACCCCCCCCGTCCCTAACTTAAGGTCCCAAGGGCCCTGTGTTGAAGGGGGAGCTTGGGGTAATTTGAACGTTTTCATCACCCTCAAAGCCCTGCAAGCTCTAGAAGGCCTGGACCCCAAAATGGATTACCAGCTGCGGATTCACGAAGCCCTACAAGGCCTACACTTGCCCAAAGCCCTGAACCTTAAACCCCAAGCCCTGAACCTATAGAACCCATGACATTCCAAACCCTCGCCCTTAGGCACAAAATGGCCCGAGTACCTTTTAGAATACGGGCTTCCAAAACCCTTGAAACAGGACTCCTTGGAGCGTTAGGGTAAAAACCCTAAAGCATCCCCTAAAAAAAAAAAACAAGCCAAGATCCCTAAAGCAACCCTTCGAACCCTAACCGCCCTAAAGCAACCCTCTTCCCTTTGGCCCTAAACCCTAAACCAGAAAGCCAAAACCCAAAACCAGAAAGCCAAAACCCTAAACCCTAAACCCTAAACCCTAAACCCTAAACCCTAAACCCTAAACCCTAAACCCTAAACCCTAAACCCTAAAGAAAGCCACAGAGGCCACGCCCGAAGCGACCACCACACTGCTGGTGGCCATGGCACCCCTCATCGAGGCAGCGCCCAGATGGGAGCTTGGGAGTTATAGGGTTTAGGGGTTAGGGTTTTAGGGTTTAGGGGCTAGGGTTTAGGGTTCAGGGAAATCCTAAACCCTAAACCCTAAACCCTAAACCCTAAACCCTAAACCCTAAACCCTAAACCCTAAACCCTGAACCCTGAACCCTGAACCCTGAACCCTAAGCCCTAAACCCTAAACCCTAAACCCTAAGCCCCGACCCCTAAGCCCCAAGAGGCCTCTCATGTTTTGGCCTTAGCCCTCGGAGCCGCTGTGGGGCCCTGCACCCGAGACCTGAAAGCCTAAAACCCAAACCCTTTCAAAAACCCCGTAAGCCCGAAGTACCACACCCTAATCATCAGAATCCCTTGAACTCTATACCCTTCAACTACCCCACATCCTTCAAGCCCTTATAAGCCATAAACCCTGCCCCGTCTCAACCCAGCGGGCCCCCCAGCACTTGAAGAGAAACCCTAAACCCTAAACCCTAAACCCTAAACCCCTAACCCTCAGCCAACTCCGACGATGTGGGGAGGCGCAGCCAGGGCTCTTCCGGCCTTTGCTGCGCGAGTTCTTCGTGCAGGCAGCGGCCTGCTGTGGGACCTATGGGGTTTCGCCCGAAACAGTAAACCTCGCAAGCCCTAAACCCTAAACCCTAAACCCTAAACCTAAACTTCAAGAACCTAAACCCGAAACCTTTGTAAAACCCCTATAGATCCTTAACCTTATAGACCCTAAACCCTGAACTCTTAACCCTAAAAGGGGGAGGTCGTGCCTAAACCCTACAGAGCAGAGCTACGCTATGCGAGTTCAGAGGCGTTTTTGCTCCAGGCCTGAGGTTGCAGTTGGTTGTTTAGGGTTTGGGCTTTAGGGTTTAGGACGGTCTAGGGTTTAGGGTTTAGGGTTTAGGGCTTAGGGCTTAGGGCTTAGGGCTTAGGGCTTAGGGCTTAGGGCTTAGGGCTTAGGGCTTAGGGCTTAGGGCTTAGGGCTTAGGGCTTAAGTTTCGGGTTGAGGGTTCGCTCTTTGGTCCTGATGGGCTTTTGGGGTCTTGGGGTTGTGCGAGGCTTGTTGGTTTTAGGGTTTCCGGTGTAGGGTTTAGGGGTTTAGGGGTTTAGGGGTTTAGGGGTTTAGGGGTTTAGGGGTTTAGGGGTTTAGGGGTTTAGGGGTTTAGGGGTTTAGGGGTTTAGGGGTTTAGGGGTTTAGGGGTTTAGGGGTTTAGGGGTTCGGGTTTAGGGTTTGGGGTTTAGGGTTTAGGGTTTTAGGGCTTAGGGTTCAGGGTCCTGTCAACCCCAAACCCGGAACCCTTATCTAACCCGGAACCCTCACCCGCAGCCCCGAACCCTAAACCCTGAACCTGCTACGCTGGTTGCCAGCCCAAGGTCGGTTGAAACCCTAAACCCTAAACCCTAAACCCTAAGCCCTGAACCCAAAACCCGAAACCCAGCGCAGGGCAGTTGGAAAGAGAGAAGCGCTCACGTCCGAGATACAATTTCACGGCTTCGCGCACAGCAACAGCCACATGCTTTCCCTGAACCAACGTGGCAGATGCCCATGCGCTGACTTTGATCACGCAAGAGGGGACCTCTTGACACCAGTCGGGCCTGTCAGAACTCATCTCCAGCTTGTTTGCGGACACTCAGGGTTTAGGGTTTAGGGTGTAGGATCTAGGGTTTGGGGTTTAGGGTTTGGGGCTTGAGGTTCCAGCCTTTAAGGTGAGGAGGACACCATGTCAGATGCAGACTAGTCTGGCACGTGACTCCAGATCCCAGAGACTCCAAATCCCCATGAGTTAAGGAATATACCCTAAATTATCATAGGAACCCTTATCCGAAGCCCTAAACTTTAAGCCCTAAACCCTAAACATGATATATGGTGTATTCCTGAATTCACGGTTTTTGGAGTGTTTGGGGAGATGTCCATGTCCAGAGGTGCACCCTTAGGGTTTAGCGTTTAGGGTTTAGGGTTTAGGGTTCAGTGTTAGGGTTAAAATCGGGTTTAGGGTAGAAACCTGAACGCTGGAACCCTAAACCCTACAGACTGGAACCCTAGAGTTTTAGAGGCTGGAACTTCAAGCCCTAAACCCTCAATCCTAAACCCTAAACCCTAAAAACCCTAAAAACCATAAAAAAAAAAAAAAAAACCTAAAAACCCTAAACCCTAACCTCGGGACACCCTCGGCCCAGTCCTTCGACTCGTCTGAAGTGAAGCGCCTCAAGTTGGAGGCAGCCGGAGCTCAGTGCACTACGCCCTGAACCCGAACTTTAAATTGGAAACCCTAAGCCTCATAGGGTTTAGGGTTTAGGGTTTGGGGTTTGGGGTTTAGGGGTTAGGGTTTAGGGTTTGGGGTTTGGGGTTTAGGGTTTGGGGGTTTCAGGGTTTAAGGGGTGCAGGGGTTCAGGGTTCTGGGTCTTCAAGACTAAACCCTGAACCCAAACTCTAAATTCTAAATCCGAAGCCCCATAGGGTTCAGGGGTTCAGAGGTGTACATGCGATCCGTGCGGACATCCCAGGGGGCATGAAAGAAGACCATGGGGTTTAGAGGTTTAGGGGTTCAGGGGTTCAGGGGTTTAGGGGATGAGGGTCTTCAAGTGCCCCCCAAAGAGTTGTTGGGGCTTTGGCAGAGACTGTCTCCGGCCTGAGGGGGGGGGGGGGGGGTTCAGGGTTTGGGGGTTGGCTTGGGGCTTGGGGCTTGGGGCTTGGGGCTTTGTGCTTGGGGCTTTGGGCTTGGGGCTTGGGGCTTGGGGCTTTGGGCTTGGGGCTTGGGGCTTGGGGCTTGGGGCTTGGGGCTTGGGAGGTAGAGTGTTCCGAGACTCGGTTTGTGGGTCACATGGAGAGTTGAAGTTCCACTGGCTTTTCTTGGCGAGCAGTCTTCCTAGTTCATGCTTTAGTTTATCTGTTAGTAGTTCTCCTTTCAATCAGAGTCCCATTTTGTTTTGTTGGGGCATCCTTTTTAGAAGATGCCGTACTACATGCAGACCCAAAAGGGAACCTAATTTAGAGAACTACATTTACATGTATGTTCAGTTGGGGTTTAGAGCCATGAGCTACAGAGGATGGGCTCATAGAGACAGCTATTGACGATTGTGTGTTTTGCTCCAATCCAAGTCGCACCAGGAGGTTTAGGGTTTAGGGTTAGGGTTTAGGGTTAAGGGTTAAGGGTTTAGGGTTTAGGGTTTAGGGTTGAGGCTCCCAGTGCCACAGCTGGAATGGCGGTTGTAGTCACCTTCACCAGAGGTCATTGAGAACCTCGTAGACGAGACCAACGTGCAGATGGTTCTGCGGGAGCTGCAGGCACTTGAAGCGGGTTTAGGGTTTAGGGTTTAGGGTTTAGGGTTTAGGGTTTAGGGTTTAGGGTTTAGGGTTTAGGGTTTAGGGTTTAGGTTTAGGGTTTAGGGTTTAGGGTTTAGGGTTTAGGGTTTAGGGTTTAGGGTTTAGGGTTTAGGGTTTAGGGTTTAGGGTGCCATGTGCTGTTTCCAACCCTGGCCCTGGCCCTGAACCTCAAACCACGAGGTTTTGAGTCTGAGTTTCTAGGGTCTTGGGGGTGTAGGGTGTGAGGGGACATCTGCGTTGCGTGTTGGGCTCCCTACGCTAGCAGGGGCCCTTGCACTCAGAGTTCTATGAATTAGCCCTAAACCCTAAACCCTAAACCCTAAGTTGCTTAGAGACTTGAGGAGACATCAGCGCGTCCCACCTTGCGACAATTCAAGCCAGGGCTTTCGGGCTTGCTCTGAAGGGGCCTAAACCCTCGCCCTAAACCCTGAACTCGAGAACGCTAACCCCTAAACCCTAAACCCTAAACCCTAAACCCTAAGCCCCTCAACAGGTCTACGTGTCCTGGCACTCGCAGCCCGATTTCGTGGCCCGAGCCGTGCGGAGCATCGCCAAGGTCGCGCTGACCATCGCATCGGCACTCCCGACACGCGGGTTTTTTTTTTGGTGAGGGGCTTAGAGTTTAGGGTTTAGGGTTTCGGGTTTCGGGCTTAGGTTTTTTTGTGAGGTGGGTATAACTGGGTTGTGGACGACTATACTTTAATACTTTTTGGTTTTGAATTCCTATTCTAGCAACTTCTACCTCAACAGTATGTACTTTTGTCCACTACTCCAATATAGAGACATACTTATTCAATATGAGAGTATGAACTATGCGAATATCATAGTAGCATGACATACATTAAAATAGAGTAATATACAACTATTCGAAGATAACAGTACGATAATATACTACTCGAGTAATGTAATGACATGGTTTTGGGGAAGGGGTTTCGTTGATTATGGTGGACAGTTAGGGTATCCTAGGACTCAGAGTAGATCCTTCGGTTCCCTTATAAGCCCCTTTAAGCCAAAAAGGGCACCCTTTCTTTCCTAGGTTACTCTTAGACTTGGGTCTAGTAATTATAGGGTTGACAGGTTCTGGGGGTGGACAAGGAACCCCAAAATCCCTACACCCTAAACCCCAAACCCGAAACCCTAAACCCTAAACCCCTAACCCTAAATCCTAAACCCTAAACCCAAAATCCTTAACCCTAGGCTTGTCTTCGGGACTTGAGGCCTCGCAGCCAGGAGATGAGAGATTGAGAGGAGCTTCTCAGATGACACCCCCCAGTGCAAATGGACGTTTTAGGGTTTTAGGGTTTAGGGTTTAGGGCTACACTATATACTTGGGCCTTGAAAGGGGTTCCCATATAGCAGCTTTAGAGCCAGGTATACACTATATAGGTACATGGACCCTTAGGGATAAGGGAAGAGCACAGTGAACCTTATTCCTACATGTACCTTCCTATGCACCCTTAGAAAGCCCCCCTAAACCCTAAACCCTAAGCCCCACGCCCCAAACCCTAAACCCTAAACCCTAATTAAACCCTAAACCCTAAACCTTAAACCCTAAACCCTAAACCCATTTCCTGGCATCTCTGGCCGCAGCATCCCAAGTCTCCCCCCCTCCCCTTCCCCCCCACGTCCCCCGTGGCCCGGCCACCCTGGACGTATCGGCTTCGCGCTTAGCCACATCGGGGTTTTGGAGAATAGGGAGTATCCTTTTTGGGGGGCCCCTTTAAGAGGATTCTATGTTATTTTTGGGGGTATCAAAAGGGTAGCCCTATTTTCGTAAGCCCCCACATCGGAGTAAGAAATGAATGGCGCAGGGCTCCCGAACCCTGTGGACCCTAAAGCCAAGCCCTTCTCTAGGATACCCTGCTTGCGACTTCGTTCTCATCAGAAAGAAAGCCCTAAACTCTGATACCTCCTTATATCGAAAGACTTGCCTTGTTGTTGCCTTACCGTTTGGGAGTCTACCTAAACCCCGAAACCAAAAACCCAAAACCTGAGCCCTTACCTCCCGAACGCCCCCAAACCCAGTGAAGGACCATGGAACTGGGCAACTGCTTGAAGCCAATTTCTACTCGAGGGAACCTGTACAAGGCCACTTAGGAGGAATAACAAGGCACTTGTACTATATAATCATAATAAGAAGAAGAATAGTAGAAATAATAATAAGAGTAATATCATCAATAATAATAATATAATTATATATATATATATATGTAACAAACGCCAGTGAAATGTTGCCAACTAAATCTCTGCGGAGGCGGTATATCAAGCATGAGTCTTTAGATGTTATGAAGCCGGTCGACTTCGGGCAGTATCCCATATGTCCAGTATCTTTGAAGCGGTTTAGGGTTTAGGGTTTAGGGTTTAGGGTTTAGGGTTTAGGGTTTAGGGTTTAGGGTTTAGGGTTTAGGGTTTAGGGTTAAGGGTGGACCAGGGTCAAGCAGACCAGCTCCTTGATTCGCTACACAGTCGTGCCGGCGACTGCTGCCCCAGCAACAAATCATCCGCGCTATCACTCACAGAGTTCCTAAACCCTAAACCCTAAACCCTAAACCCTAAACCCTAAACCCTAAACCCTAAACCCTATACTTGGCATGCACAGCTTTTTCCCTAAGGCTCCAGGTTGACAAGGGTTTTAGGCTTTTGGGCTGATTAAAGAACGTTCTTTGGGCGTTTTTGAGCAGGACAAATGCAGGGGTCGGCATACTTACTCATAGAATTCCCTTCACTTAGGGTCCCTTTGTAATTGTACAACAATAACCCCCCCCACCCCCCCCCCCCCCCCAAAAAAAAAAAAAAAGCCTATCCTTCTTAGTCAGGCCCCTATGTTGGCCTTTCTGGGTGGGTTGGAGTTCCGGGCCCGGGGAGTACCTCTCTTGTTTTTCTGAGTGTGCTACCAAGAAAAGACCTAAAGCCGAAGTTCTATGCGCCCTCTCCCACGAAGGAAGGGCCCATATGAAGAGACCATCTAACTACCCTAAACCCTAAACCCTAAACCCTAAACCCTAAACCCTAAACCCATGTAGATACCCCAACCACTCTGAGGTCTCCAGGTATCATGGCCTTCTCAGCTGCAATACGGCGGCTCCCGGGAGGTTTGGCGGGGGCGGGCTTAGGGTTCAGGATTCAGGGTTTAGGGTTTAGGGTTTAGGGTTTAGGGTTTAGGGTTTAGGGTTTAGGGTTTAGGGTTTAGGGTTTAGGGTTTAGGGTTTAGGGTTTCGGGTCACGGCAGGGGAAGGGCTGCAAAGGATTCGGGGTTGGGGGGACTTACGGGCCCTATAGGGTTTGGGGCTGATCGTGTTTAGGGGTTTATAGGGTTTAGGGCTCAGGGCTTAAAGGGTTTCGGGTTTCAAGGATTTAGGGCTTATAGCGTTATAGCGTTTAGGGCTCAGCGTCATAAGCTCCCGAAGATATTCAGCACACAAGAGCCAGGGTGTAGGGTTTAGGTTTAGGGTTTAGGGTTTGGCCCCAATGCCCAGTTGGCCCCAATGCCCAGCGCAGCCTGAGATTTAGGGCACCCAAACAGAAACTACGATTTCTAGGACCCAGGGCAGGCCCTTTCCCGTTTTTGGGGGGCTTTCGGTTCCCTTAGAAGCCCGTGAAAAACCAAAAAGGGTACCTATTATTCCTAGGTCCTAGGGTACTCTTCGGTTTAGATTTCGAGAGTGCCCACATTCCAAAAGCGTGCAGTGGCTTAGGTGAAGGCTTTGTGGGGCTTAGGGCCTAAGCTCCAAAAACCTGGAAAGGTTTGCTTGGAGGTTCATGGTACATATCAACTAATTATAACTGTACTTGTAACTGTACTTATAACCATTTTGGATCACTCAAGGGGCTTATACGTGGGTTACAAGTACAGCTATATTTCGTTACTAAGTATCACGAATCTCGAAGTAGGGCTTAAGCGACTGATGGGCTGAAGGTTGCTGGGGTCCACAGGCTTTGTGGGATCCCGTCTTCGAGAGAGTAGGGATTTAGGGGCTGAAAGACTAGGACCCAGCGCGCCCTAGCGGTTGAGAAGCCTAAGACTTCAGCACCAAGGCTTGGGGGTTGAGGGCTCCGGTTTAGGCTGTTCAGGTTTTAGGATGTTCGGGTTGCCCCGCCGCCGGTCTTCCTATACCTTGCTAGCCCTAAACCCTAAACCCTAAACCCTAAACCCTAAACCCTAAACCGCCTAAACCCTAAACTCGGCCCTAAACCCTAAACCGCGAAACCGCCTGCAGGTGGATTTGCAAAGATGCCAAGGTCACAGGCACCTCTCGCCGGCATCAAATGTGTTGTAAGATGCCACTGCTGAGGTGTTCGTGGCTTCTTGGGTCTACACGATACTCCTGAAGCCCTATCCCCTAAACCCTAAACCCTAAACCCTAAACCGGTTTGGAGTCCTTCTAGAATGTGGGCTTCGTTTTGCACTGCGCAGATAGTTGACCTGAAAGCCCTCAGGTTTGAGGCTCCGTCTCTTCCTGGATCCTTGCAAGGCATCTAATGATCCCGCCCCTAGGGTTTAGGGTTTAGGGTTTTGGGTTTTAGCTTTTGGGTTTAGGGCTTTGGGTTTAGGGTTTCTTTAGGGCAAGCTGTGTTGGCCCTGCGCGCCAACCCGAAACCCTAGACCCTAAAACGCTAAACCCTGAACCCTAAACCCTCTAAAAGCAACTGGGAGGGGGCGAGTGTTTCTTAGAGCGTCGTCCTGTGACGCAGGCGATGACGGCCCTGCCGCCGCAGACAAGTTTGGTGAACATCTGCACCTACTTCCATCCCTGGCCGAAGCACAGGTGAATTCAGGGGTCTCCGAAGTCCCGGGTTAGGGTTTAGGGTTTAGGGTTTAGGGTTTGGGGTTTAGGGTTTAGGGTTTAGGGTTTAGAGTTTAGGGTTTAGGGTTTAGGGTTGCAGCATTCCAGGGTCCCAGAGAGCCCAGGAATAGACCTTAAATCATAAGAGGGAGACTCATAGGATTTACGGTATTTTCCTCAAGTAAGGGGTATGGGCTCGTTGGGCAGTTCTACGACAGAGAGGGGTCCTAGTGTTGGGGTTTTTCTTGGCGGTAAAGGGCTGAGGTGCGCTTAGAGCATGCAGCTTGTGGATGCTTGCGAGGTTTGGCCCTAAACCCTAAACCCTAAACCCTAAACCCTAAACCCCCAACCCCTGAACCGCTGTACTTCTTGAGTTCAGGGGTTGGTCTTATTGCACACCACTTGACAGCCTAGATGAGCAGGGTTCAGGGTTTTTGGGGTTTGAGAAGGGTTTAGGGTTTATTTGAAGCCCCGAACACTTTTTTTCCCTGAACTACAACCCTCTGCCTCATACAAATGGCCAAGCCTCAAGCAGGACCCCTGTGCCTGAACCCTGAGCCCTTTTTGCAGGACATAGGCCCTGCTTCTCTTGCAACGCCGACCCTACGGGCTAAACCCCAAGCGCTTGCCAGGTCGATGTTCCTGATGTACGGCAGTCGTCACTCGTCCTCCGCTGCTGACTGGATGCAAAAGTCTGCTGGGGCGAAGGCTCGGAACGGAGCGGGTGTGTTGGGGCTCAGGGTTCAGGGTTTCTCAAACCCTAAACCCCAGACCCTAAGTTTAGGGCTCAGGGCCTCAGCTCGAGCAAGGAAAGCCAGGTGACTGAATCATGCCCCCCCGCCCACCCCCCCCCCACCCGGGTGCATGCGGTACCGACCATGGCGCGTGTGTGGGTGTGGGAACGGTCCTTGCCCGGTCGCATGGGTCCATTAAAACTCAAGCTACCAAGCCCTTGAGCTTTAACCCCTTTGAGCCGTAGGGGTGTTAGGGTTTTAAGGGGTTGGTCTCAGGGTCTCTTTTTTAAAGATTTTAGATTTTTTGGGAGGTGTTTTAGGGTTTTAAGGGTGTATTAGGGTTTTAGGGTTTTTAGGGTTTTGGGTTGAGGGTTGTAAGATTTGAGGGTTTAAACCCTGAAAAGCCCCCCAAAAAAAGCGCTAAAAAACCCTCAAAACCTGCAAAGCCGCAGGATCCGTCTCGGGCAGGGACAGGGACGGACGCCGCGATGTCCTTCGACGGCATCTACGGCCGTCATCTCAGAGAAGCCCCAATGATGAGCCCGTGTTTAGGGAGTTTAGGGTTTTGGGTTTAGGGTTTAGGGTTTAGGGTTTAGGGCTATTCTAGCCTATAACCCTAAATATAGGGTTATAGGGTCATAAGGCCACAGGATGAGGCTTCTTTGGGGTTGAGTGAGAGTTCTCTCAGGATGGACCATTAAATGATCGACCAAGTAAAGGGCCCTGTTTGAGGGGTTACCCAGAGAGCCCAATACCGTATAATTAAGCAATACACCCTAAGCCCTAAACCCTGAGCCGTGAACCCTGAAACTCTAAACTCGAAACCCTCTACGTGAATCATATTAGGGTCCCAATTTTGATTCAAGGCATATTCCAGAATGAAGGGGTATTGGGCTCTTTAGGGATCCATGCACATAAATAGTAGGTGCTTGGGCCTTTCAAGGATTCCTGGGTTTAGGGTTGAGGGTTTTAGGGTTTAGGGTTTTAGGGTTTTAGGGTTTTAGGGTTTTAGGGTTTTAGGGTTTTAGGGTTTTAGGGTTTTAGGGTTTTAGGGTTTTAGGGTTTTAGGGTTTTAGGGTTGTAGGGTTTTAGGGTTTTAGGGTTTTAGGGTTTTAGGGTTTTAGGGTTTTAGGGTTTTAGGGTTTTAGGGTTTTAGGGTTTTAGGGTTTTAGGGTTTTAGGGTTTTAGGGTTTTAGGGTTTTAGGGTTTTAGGGTTTTAGGGTTTTAGGGTTTTAGGGTTTTAGGGTTCTAGGGTTTAGGGTTTTAGGGTTCTAGGGTTTAGGGTCTAGAGGTAGCTTGTATACTAGCCCATCCTGGTGAGGGATTTTGGGGTATAGGGTTCAGGTTTCAAGGAGGGCTCAGGGTTTTAGGATGTAGGGATGTAGGAGTTTAGGGTTTAGGGTTTAGGGTTTAGGGTTTATAGGGTTTAGGGTTTAGGGTTTAGGGTTTAGGGTTTAGGGTTTAGGGTTTAGGGTTTAGGGTTTAGGGTTTAGGGTCGGTTCTTTAGGGATGTAGGGCGTTGTAGCGTTGATGGGGTTAGGAACGCCTCATTGGGGCTCGGGGGTCAGCTCCAAGCATCCCGACACTCTGCAAAGTAGAAGATCCCGATGTCCCTGAACCCGAAGCCTCATCCCACATCTCCCTTGATTTCTGGCACGCGGAGCGTATATACCCTCTACACAGATACCTCAGGTTTAGGGTTTAGGGCTAGGGTTTAGGGTTTAGGGTTTAGGGTTTAGGGTTTAGGGTTTAGGGTTTAGGGTTTAGGTTTAGGGTTTAGGGTTTAGGGTTTAGGGTTTAGGGTTTAGGGTCTGGGACTCTGGGAGGTATACAGCTTATAGAGTTGAGAGCTTAGGACACGGAGGATCTCTCATTTGTAGGTCTTCCGCTGGGTCGGGGTTCAGCTCACACGCGTTGCAAATCTAGCCGCGGCCTGGCATGCGTGGAGGCTTCTCTGGCTGGTTCTTTGTGGGGGATGAGGGTTTGGGGATGAGGGTTTAGGGTTTAGGGTTTAGGGTTTAGGGTTTAGGGTTTAGGGTTTAGGGTTTAGGGAATGAAGGCCCTATGTAATCCCTTAAAGGGTATATATAGGGCCCTCATTCCCTCATTCCCTACTAAGAACCAGGGGGGTTCTCTAAGATTTCTAGGTCCCAACGCCGTGAGCCTTCATGGGCCGTGACGGCGAGCTTGGGATCAATGGCAGCCGAAACGTTTAGGGTTTAGGGTGTAGGGTAAAGGGTTTAGGGTTTAGTGCGCTGGCAGGAATGTAGAATCAGTTGCTCTGCTGTCGAATAGGTTCTGCTAGGACCCAGAGTAGGCCCTGATTCCTTTTTTTAGGGTTGAGGCTCTCCTTTTTCAGCCCTTTTTAAACCAAAAAAACTACCCTTTCTATTCCTAGGGTACTCTTGGGGCTAGATTCTGGCAGTCGAGCAACAGACATGACTCATGCCACCCCATTTTTGTTGGAACTACTTGGCTTGATGACGGGCTCTTGCAGGCCTGTTCAACACGGGGTCGTTTTTGTTGGAGTCTGTCAAAATGATATCTGCCAATGTTCGTCAAGGGCTCCAAACATGGGGTTTTTCCCAACAGCAGCAAAGTTTGTTTGATTCTAGCTGCGAATGTACTGCCTTGCATGCGGCTCTCAACAGCCAGCCCCTCTAAAGCCTTTCGACGCGACCGATAGAATCCCGCCAGCACTAAAACAACCAAACCTTGAGCCCAAAACCCTAAAACCATACTTGCATGTGCTTCAAAACCCCCTAAAACTAAAAATGGTTCTTCTTTGTAAGGGTAATCTGGAGATTAGTATCTTTCTTTTTTGGGGGTTCTTTCGCAAGTAGTAGACAGGGGGTAGTTTCCTAAATCACGGTCCCTTTTGTGGATCCCTTTTGTTTAACGGGTGCCTAAACCCTAAACCCTACACCCTAAACCCTAAGCTCTAAGCCCTAAGCCCTAAACCCTAAACCCTAACCCTAAATGTAAACCCTAAACCCTAAACCCTCTCAGACCCTGTCAGCGCCACAGGCCAGGCGGCTGTCACGCGCAACGGCGCCGAGGGGAAGACAGGCTAGGGCATGCATTTCAAGGGGCTCTTCACAAGGGATCCTTTGGGAGGGCGAGGGTTTAGGCTTCAGGGTTTAGTTCAGCGAGAGTTTAGGGGTTGTTGGGGGCATCTGGGGCGGCTGCCGCATGAGCCCATCTAAACCCCAAGCACCCCCTAGGGTTTAGGGTCGAGGGTCTTAGGGTTTGCCCTGAAAACCTTCGACAACAGCTCGAAAGCATCCGCCATGTGAGCAGCCCCTGCAACCCCTACAAGCACTCCAAGCCTTCTTTAAGCCTTCTGCGACCCTTTAGAAGGGTTTGGGGTTTAGGGCTTAGGTTTTGGGGTTTAGGGTTTAGGGTTTAGGGTTTAGGGTTTAGGGTTCAGGGTTTAGGGTAAAATCCTGTGGAAGCCCTGTAAACCCCATAAGCCCCTGGAAGCCCCTTTACAGGAGACAGGCAGGATGCAGCCGCTGCCGCCCCTGCCTGGACCTGACTAGGGTTCAGGGTTTGGGGCTCAGGGTTCAGGGTTTAGGGTTTAGGGTTCAGGGTTTAGGGTTTAGGGTTTCGGGTTTAGGGGCTATAGTATACTAGGGGTTCCCATAAAGTGGCTTTAGGGCCCAATTGTATACTATATGGGTACATGGAGCCTCAGGGTAGCGCTGCTTATGGGCCTCCCTGGTATTCTAGATTTTGTTTCTGCATCTTCTAGGGTTTAGGGTTATAGGGCTTAGGGTCTAGGGTTCAGGGTCTAGGGTTTAGGGCTTAGGGCTTTAGGGTTTCTGCTACGGCTTACATCGAGATCTCCGGCATAACGCCTGATGTCAAAGTACTAGCCACGGAGTGGAGAAACTGGCCATGGGTGTGAAGCACCTGATCTTAGGGTTTAGGGTGCAGCTTACGTCAGCAGAGTTTACTCCTGGTGCCCTATCTGCGTGCCCTTCTGAACACTACGGGGCTCTAGCTTGGAATCTACATCTTCATGTTCCGCTGGTACTCCGGAACCTTCGCATCCCTAAGGGTCCATTCATCCATATAGTAGATACTTGGGCCCCAAAGCTACTTTATAGGAACCCCTTTTTTAAGGCCCAAGCATATACTAGATGAGTGCATGGACCCTTTGGGTTCGTATATGAGCGACCGCTACGCAGCGGAAGAGGCTCCAGGCAAAGACCAGGGTCTACACCCTGTAAGATGCCCTAAGTACCCCGCAAGAAGGTACTCTTGTTCCGGCGTACTCTGGGGGCAGTTACTTGCTGCCCTCTACCGCGCCTGGTTCCGGGGTTTTGGTAACCCTAAAACCTAAACCCCAAACCCCAAACCCCAAACCCCAAACCCCAAACCCCAAACCCTAAACCCTAAACCCTAAAACCCTTGCAGGGTTTGAGGTTTTTGGGTTAAGTTTAGGGTCTAGCGCGTGTTATAATAAATCATCCTCCTCTCCTCTCTCGTCTTGGGCTCCGAGCCCCGATACCTGGGCAGTCAGATCTTCCGAAACAGCTCAATGTAATTGAAGATGTCTAGTCAAACTAGGGTTTAGGGTTGAGGGTTTAGGGTTCAGGGTTTAGGGTTTAGGGTCAATCTTCATAGTCCCAACATCATGTAGGGATGCTTCTTATGGCTTAACCGTATCTTCCTTAAGGTGGGGCGGGTCAGAGGTGGGTAGGGGAAGCTAAACATTGGGTTTAGGAAACCTAGAGAACCCCAAACCCGAAGTCCTCCATCCCAAGGCGCGTCCACTCGGGCTATCGGGACTCCGCCGTCGCTTCGCCAAAGGGCAGAAGCTCTCGATGGCTAGCCCCGCGAGCTTGGCACGCCCAAGCCCCACTAATCGGCCCGGATGGCTTCTCTACACCCAAACAGAACCCACTTTTTGGTCACACGAAAATCCTGGTCTGTCCTAAAGGCTCAGCTCAACATGGGCCAGCTTCCAGTGCTGCAGAGCCCTCACACAAGAACTCCTTCTGTCGCCCTTTCCCGTGCCAGGTTACTGCCTACGATTTCCCCTCCGCGCGATTTGCACGATCAGCGGGGGTTGAATTGGTTCTTGTCGGGGACAGCCCGCAGCCCAGCCGCTGGGTTGAGGGTTGAGGGGCATTTGGGCCCACAGGGCCTTGAACCCTAAACGCTAAAGCTGCTAAAGCTACCAAACCTACGAAACCGACTAAACCTACTGCACCCACTAAACCTACTAAACCTGTAAAAACCTACTAGATTCCAAACCCCTCCCAAACCCTAAACCCCAAAACCTTAACCCTAAAACTATTAACCTTACTCCCTGCCAGACGACAGGGCCCATAGAGCTTAAACTGCCTGTACTTGGTAGCCCAGTGTGGCCTACCCTTTTGCCTTCTTCTTGGTTCTAGGTTACCCTTCAAGTAACCAAACCCCAAAACGGACCCGCAAACTACCTTTTGCTCAAGAGCCCCCCGCCCAAAACAAAAAAGAAAAACAATTTTCCCTATATATTGCCTTTACAAGGAAGAATGTGTCTTTGTGTGGTTCTTAAGCAAGCACTAGTAAACCCTAAGCCCTCAACCCTTGACCTTAACCCTCAACCCTCAACCCTAGACCCTTATTGCAGTTACTGGGTTACCAAGTGTGTGTTGGAGTTCAACCAACTAAAACTTAGCCGATTCTCTGAGTACATCAGCTTGGGGCGTTCAAGCTTTAGGGTTTAGGGGGTGTGTGGGGTTAAGGGTTTAAGGGGCTTAGGGTTCAGGGATCAGGGTTTAGGGGTTAGGGTTCAGGATCAGGATTCAGGGTTTAGGGTGGGTACCACGTTCGTCGCATCAAAGAGCAGTTAACGGTGTCGGGAGGTGAGCGATTAACGTAGGACCCCATTTAGGGTTTAGGGTTTAGGGTTCATCAACTCTTAAAGTAACCCTGGACTCTGTCAGCCCTTGGAAATCTAAACCCCTACACCCACAACTCTACAAGGTTCTGGTGCTTAAACGCGCCAAACACCAAACCTGCATACCCTCAGGATTTAGGGGCTTAGACTTGGATCAGAGACGTGCACCGCGAAGCGGCTAAGGTCTCGGGAACTGCCGGCCGGGCTCTCGGCCAAAATGCCGTAAGGAGGTTGTTGGGCTGAGGGCTGAGGGTCTAAACCGTTCATCATCATGGTTTATGTCGGGTACCTAGACCCATGAGGAACCTAGGAATCCAAAAGGTGCCCTTTCCCGTTTGGAGCTGCTTATAAGGGAACCTAAAGCCCAAAAAAAAGGGCCCACCCTGCGTCCTAGACCCAAAGAGCCCAATACCCCTTAATGAAGGAATATACCTTAAATCATAAGAGGGATCCCAATATGGTTTAAGGTATATTTCCTTAACTACGGGGTATTGGGCTCTCGGGGTAAAAGCAAGCCAAGGCAACTGCAGGCACCTTCTTACCCAGGCTGCCCACGTACCGAATTCAAAGTCGGCTGCCTCCCCTTCCCGCACACCTAACTTGCAAGGTCCATGTACGTGTATTAATATATACTTGGGCCTTAAAAGGCGTTCCCATAGAGTAGCTTTGCGGCCCAAGTATATACCATGTGGGTAGATGGACCCTGAGGGTGACTTGTAGGGTCCGCTCAGGAAAGCGTGCACCTGGGGAGCCTTTGCTAGGGGAGTATGAGGGGGCGGGGGCACCATATGTGGAAGCATTGGGCTTCTTAAGCCTGGGATCCTGAGTAGCAAACCCTTCAAAGCCGTCTTTAAAGTCGAAAACCAGTTCGGGGGGAAAAACAACGAAAGCTTAGGGTTTAGGGTTTTCGGGTTTAGGGTTTAGGGTTTATAAGGTTTAGGTCGGGTTTAGGGTGACCCACATATCAGACCAGACTTTGCAGGCCAGTTGCAGCCAGTTCGCAAGTTCCATGAGCCTGCCGAGTGGAGCGTTACATAAAGCAAAAAGCACACCTCTACCGGTAGGCCCTTGAGAAATTGGACCTTAGGGTGTAGGGTTTAGGGTTTAGGGTTTAGGGTTTAGGGTTTAGGGTTTAGGCTTATGGAATTTCAGAGGGTTATATTCAGGAATATGCTTCAGATACCTTTATAAGGGCCATCCTAGTCTAGCAGCCGATAGAGGCTGGGACTTTCCGACACCGTCGGTGTCACGATGGAGGCGGGTCTGATGCTGGAGTGCAAGGGTTTAGGGTTTAGGGTTTAGGGTTTAGGGTTTAGGGTTTAGGGTTTAGGGTTTAGGGTTTAGGGTTTAGGGTTTAGGGTTTAGGGTGTTTTTGCTTTGAGGTCAGGAAGCTCTAAACCCACTCAAAGGGTCCATGTACCTATATACAGAAAAACTTGGGCCTTGAATGGGTTTTTTTGTCAGGTAGCTTTAGGGCCCAAGTTTGTAGTAAATGGGTACATGGACCCTCAGGGCCTTATAAACACTAAAGTGTCCTAAGGCCTGAACCGGAAGTTGATCACGTGGGTTTACGTCTGGGTTATCCGCCAAAACCCTGAAACTTTTACCTTTAGAACTCTGTGAACCTTTTTTTGCGGGTTATAGGTGCCCTAAACCCTAAAACCCTAAACTCAAACCCTATACCTTATGCATTAAGCTCCAAACCCGACACCGCATCCTAACCCAAGCCATAAGCCCTAAATTTCACACCCCCCCCCCCCCCCCACACCGCATCCTACCGAAGATTAGGCATCGGGCTTGTCGGGCTGCAGACCCGTCACCCCCCAAAAGCCGTAAACCCTATTTGAGCCCTAAGCCTTAAACTTCAGACCCGAAGCTCTAACCCCAAACCCTGTACAAACCATATATGCCCTACCTGCACCCTAAACCCGAAACCGCATGTTGAGTTTTGCACCCCCTCCCTCCTCCATGAATAGTCCCATAGCAAGGAGATAGGTTTAGTGTTTAGGGTTTAGGGCTATGTCTTTCGGGCATTTGTTATTAGGGCGTTGGGTTTTGGGTTTACGGGTTAAGGCTTTAGGGCACCCATTACAGCGTTTAGTGTTAAGGTCTCAGGGCAACCCTAATCCCCACCAATACCTTATAACCGTAAGGGTCCATGTACCGGAGCTTTAGGGCCCAAGTATATACTGTAATTATAGGCACATGGATCCTCAGGGCAACTAGACGCTAAACCCGGAGCATCCCGAAACCCTAAACCCTAAACCCTAGACCCAAAAAACCCTAGACACTAAACCCTAAACCCCAAACCCTAAACCCTAAACCACAAAGCCCTCCAGGACATGCTGCGTGCCACCACGGCCGTCCGTCGCGGCGTTGACACGGCTGCGGGCACCTCGCCGAAGCCGCTGGTCATTGGAGTGGGGGGCCCCGGTTTAGGGTTGTAGGGTTTAGGGTTTGGGGTTGAGGGTTGAGGGTTTAGGGTTTAGGGTTTAGGGCTTAGGGCTCAGGTTTGAGGGTTTTTTGGTTTCTCAACATCTAGAAGCAAGCTTGTCCTCCCAAACCCCCCCAAAAAGCTTCAAAGCCCTAAGGCCTGTAAACCCTAAACCCAACGTGTTTCGTTTTTCTTGCTCGAGGTTACGAGATCGGGTGAGGAGGTTTCACGTCTGTGGAGCATCTCAAGTTCCCACTACAACTTCGCGAGGAGTTTAGGGTTTCGGGCTTAGAATTGAGGCACCTTTTTTTACAACCTTGGGGGGGGGGGGGGAAAGGGAGTAGGGATTATGGTTCAGATTCTAGCGTCCTTTGCTCGGCAGCGTTTTTTCCGGGCTTCATCCCCGCAACCAGAAGTCTTCGCCAGAATGATAATTGGGTTAGGGTTTAGGGTTTAGATTTCGGGTTTAGGGTTTAGGGTTTAGAGTTTAGGGTTAGTTGCTGTCCCAAGGTCTGTCCGAAGGACAGTTTTGCTTGCATTTTGAATCATTCTGTGAACCCGAAACTGAACCCCATAATCCTATAACCCTATGACCCTAAAAGCCCTAAACCCTATAACCCCAAACCCCCTAATCCTAAACCCCATAACCCTATAACCCTAAGCCTATACCCTAAACCCCATAACACTAAACCCTAAACCCTAAACCCTAAACCCTAAACCCTAAACCCTAAACCCTAAACCCTAAACCCTAAACCCTAAACCCTAAACCCTAAACCCTAAACCCTAAACCCTAAACCCTAAACCCTTTCCAGGACATGCCCTTCGGCCGCGGGCTTGGCACCCCTCAATCGCCTGTCCTAGGTAGGATCAGGGGGACCCTTAAAGGGGAACCCTTCTGAACCCTCTTCTGGCTCTCTTAAACAGGGACCTTATGCAGAGGGTCTATATCCCCAAGGGTCCCCCTAATCCTAAACCCTAGCCTGAGTCTGTTCCTTGCGTTGCCTTCGGTTTGGAGGTGTAGGGGTAGTAGGTTGAGGTTTTGGGCTTTATGGTTTGGGGTTAAAGGGTTGGAGTTTAGGGTTTCAGGGGTTGCTGGGTTTAGGGTTTTAGGGTTTAGGGTTCTGGGCTTGAAGTTTGGGGGTTAATTAGAGGGTTTAGGGTTTGGGATTTAGGGTTTGGGGTTTAGTTTTTAGGGCATAGTAGGTCTTGAGTTCAGGGGTGTAGGGGTTAGTGGTTTAGAGTCTGGGGTTTAGGGTTCAGGGCTTAGTAGGTTTTGAGTTAGGCGTGGGTGTAGGGGTAGGGGGGTTTACGGTTTGGGGTTTAGGGTTTGGGGCTTTTGGGGCTAGGGTTTAGGGTTTAAGGGTGAGCACGTTTAGGGTTTAGGGCTTAGTAAGCTTAAGGGGGGGGGGGGGGGGGGGGCTGCCCAACCGGGCTCAGAACTTCAACAGACCTTGCAATGTTGGCTTTGCGCGCAGGAAAGAGCTCAGCGCTTCTTTGCCTTAAGATGGAATTCAGGAGAATGCTGCGGTGTTGGGGGGCTTCAAGGCTTTCATTGAATTTTGGGGGGGCTTCGGGTGTCGGGTTTAGAGGTATTACATCAAAGCCGTCCAGAGCCGCCCGGTGCAGGTTCATACCTGACGCCCGAAGATGCACTGCGCAATGCAGCAGCATTTCGAGTCGCAGGCCGCGGGTGGGGGGGGGGGGGGGGGGGGGGGTTTAGGGTTTAGGGTTTAGGGTTTAAAGTTTAGGGTTTAGGGTTTGTGTGTGGGGGGGGGGGGGGGGGTCTTAGCCTTTCTGATTCAGAAGCCTTTAAAAACCCTCGCGTTGTTGAGGAATTCGCAGGCTTCAGGGGGCTTTGAAGCATGAACCCTGCGCATCCGCACAGATACACTTCCCAAGAAGATATATAACATATTTCTATGTATATGTATATATATATATGTATATAGTACGTATATACATATATATATATATATATATGTGTGTGTGTGTGAAGTATGTCTATGTACCCCGAAACTTCCAGAACACGAAGCCCCAAAGCAGAGCAGTAGACCATCGTGGCGCAGGCGCGGACATTGTCAAACTGGAGGGCGGATGCGCGAATCTCAGAATTTAGGGTTTAAGGTCTAGGGTTTGGGGTCTAGGGTCTAGGGTCTAGGGTTTAGGGTTTGGTTAGTTTGGGTTCGGTCGAACTTAGGTTTTAGGATTTGGGGTTCAGGGTTTCGGGGTGTGGCAGCTTCGGATACTAGGTTATGGGATTTAGGCTTCAGGGTTCAAGGGTCTCCTGAGCTGCTTCAGCAGGCAAGCCTTTGTAACTTTTGGGATAGCAAGAGCCGCCCTTTCAGACCAAAGGTCCGCCCTTTTCCGTCCTGAAGCACTTAGCCTTTGGAGTTGTGCAGGGGCGTCAATTTTTGGGCCTGGATGTAGTCCCTCAGCCATCTATTGTGTCATTGTAGAAATGTCGTCTTGTCATGGGAGCCTTCCCCCAAAAAGGTATCCCAAATTTTGTCTGACTCTTGGGGGGGGGGTCAATGTCGGGGGAGGTTGGGAGGACTCTTCTGATCTTGATGCGGGATGGTGGGGAGTGGTGGGGAGGGGGGGTGGGCGTTCCGGAAAAGCCCCAAAACGCCAAGGGAAACATCCCAAGCCCTACACCCTCATCCCTGCCTTAACAAAACCCAGAGCCTACTTTTTTTTGGCAGTTTTCCCTAAGAATCCTTGCAGGGCTTTTGCAACAACAAACCAACAAAAAGGAAAGCTTCCCTGCCCCTACTTGGAGGTTCAAGGTACATAGTAAGTACTTATAACTGTACTCATAACTGTACTTATAACCATATTAGGGCCCTGAAGGGGCTTTTTAGTGGGCTTATAAGTACAGTTATAATGAGTTATATTAGGGCACTTAAGGGGCTTATAAGTACAGCTATAATGAGTTATATTAGGGCACTTAAGGGGCTTATAAGTACAGCTATAATGAGTTATATTAGGGCACTTAAGGGGCTCATAAGTACAGCTATAATGAGTTATATTAGGGCACTTAAGGGGCTCATAAGTACAGTTATAATGAGTTACTAAGTACCCTGAACCTCCAGGTACCGAAATCTTTCTTGCAGGCCACCTGGCCCCTCTGGTGAAGTCCTTGACCAACGCGCCAAGCCCAGGGGCTCACTAGAAGCGCTCCGGAATAGGGTTTAGGGTTTAGGGGTTTAGGGTTTAGGGTTTAGGGTTTAGGGTTTAGGGTTTAGGGTTTAGGGTTTAGGGTTCAGGGTTTAGGGTTTAGGGTGTCTGTAGCCCAAAGGGTCCACATACCTGTAGAGTATATACTTGGGCCTATTCGTTTCGGTTTCAGGGCTTGGGGTTTTACAGGGTTTAAAGGGAGGAGGTGACGCATTTGAATGGAAGGGGTGTTTGAGTTAGCATTAGTTGCTTGTTCTGGTGCTTTTTTTACGGGAATGATACCGTTCGTGGGGGTAGTTGTCTAAATTGTCCCTTTTGGGGTCCTATAGAAAAGTGCAGCACCCGGATAATAAGGACCTAAAAATGGGAACCTAATTCAAAGAGCCACCCATAGATTGAGGGGCACCGCTATTATGGGGAAATAACCGTACCTTGGGTCCCACGAACCACAAGGAGGCCAATCTCCAGAACCCAGGTAACGGTCTCAAGACACGTTATTGGGCGTGTTTGCCAGGATGGGCTGTCCTCTAACGGCCCTTTACAAAGGCCCTTTGTCGGGTTGAATTCTGGGGAATTAAGTAAGGCCCAAGCCAATCCGTGTAAGAACTTCACCTGCAAAGGGTGTAGGGCTTAGTAGGGTTTAGGGTTGGGGGGGGGTCAGGCCGGAATTGGCGTGATGAGTCACATTGGCCTGGAGCCGCAGCGTGTCCGGGGCCCGGGCCCATCTTGGGTGTAGGGCCGTGTAGGGTTTAGGGTTTAGGATTTAGGGTTTAGGGTTTAGGGTTTAGGGTTTAATTTTTGGGTGTAGGGTTTAGGGTTTAGGGTTTTAGGGCCCTGGAGGTAAGGGTTCGTACCCTAAACCCTAAATCCCAAACCCTAATTTCTGAACTGATGGTTGTTTTCACCCCCGCCCCCCCGCCCCCCATCCGGCTGTGGGGGCTTAAGCTAATTCTTGGACCTCAATGGTGTTGACAAGGACTTAAGAGGATTCTTGTCTAGGAATGACTCTGAGAGGGTGTAACATGCCGATCAGCAGATGAGGCACAACGCAGCCATGGTCACACCTGCGACTTCGGTTTTCAAGAACACGAACAGGGCCCTCCCCGATACTAGTGGCTTGAAAGGCTTACGGCGCAGGGTCCACAAACCCTAAACCCTAAACCCTAAACCCTAAACCCTGAACCCTGAACCCTAAACCTCAGAAGCTATAGGGCCATCTCAGAGGTCAACCGATATAGTGCTCCTGTCTCCCGGTTCCTGGTCAGCACGGGCTGATGGACAAGGTGCCCCTGCGGAGGCGCCGAAACCCCAGGGTAGAAGGCCAACAGCACGGACTGAGTCTATGCTACTGTAGAGAAGAGATTCTGGGCTTCGTGGTGTATGCCGACGAGCGACTGCCACGTGACGTGCGCGACGAGGCTTTGTCGGTGATCCATGACGACTTGCAGGAAATCAATCGCATCCTGCCTGTGAATGCCACCGCTCGGCTTCACTCACATCCGCTGTGCATTTGGGTCAACCTGAACAGTGGTGCGGGCAAGCTAGGCTGCTGCTGTCACTGTGTAGATCTTCCCGGCGAGTACATGGCATGCAAGTCACATTCTGTGGAAATCTTTGACGCCCGTGACTTTTTGCAGCAGAGGCATGTGCAGCCGGCTCAGCTGCTTCATGAGATCTCGCATTGGATGCATCACGACGCGGTCCAGCAGGAACGCTGCAGAGCTGGAGCTAGCGAGTGGAGGCCCAGCTCAGGTCGAGTTGCCAATTGGGAGGGCCCGCATCTTTTCACGGACCCTGCAGCAGAGGACCTTGCATACAGATTCTAGGCCTTCTCGATATTCTTCTAAGTCTATGTTTGTCATTGGGTTTAAGAGCATCTTATTTGGGAATACTTGTCAGACAGCTAAAGGAGCCGACCTAGGAATGTGTGGCTTTCAAAGAGAATGCCTGAATGGCGTCTTCGTTTTGGACCAGGAATGTGCGAGATCAGTCGGGAACAGCTGCAATCCAAGCATGGTTCAACTGCCGCGAAGCGATCATGCGCACCCGTCTGCAGACGTGGCAGTCGAAACAGAAGTTGTGTGCCGATGCACCGACCGTTTCTCGACAAAGGCTGCGACGCGTCCAGATCGCTGGCATTTGGAGGTTGATGGCCAGGTTTTGGCATACCGCTTGGGTACTGAGTTTGGCGCCACCGTGGCGGGCTGGTTTGAATGGCTTGATGGAAAGTGGGGTCCCACCGAAGCCTGCGCACGCGCCGGCTTGCGACAGGCAAGGAGCACGGTGCACGTAGAAGCTAGGTGTAGGCCCTTGGGATATTTTATATGTTTCCCCTTATACATCCTGAACCCTATAAACCCTAAACCCTAAACATTGGTTTAAGAGGATCATATCTAGGAATATTTCAGAGGGTTGCTAATTGCTCTCCAAGGAAGGATTCAGCGAACATGCCCTCAATGGTTGCTATGCGGAAGTACGAACCCTGGACTCCTGGCGTGACAATCCTGACGCCGGGCCGCGCCGGAGAACTTGGGTGAAGCCTGCTGAGGTACTTGGAGGTTCATGGATTCTTAAAACCCCAAGGGCACTTAAAACCTCAAGAATAAATCTACTGAAAAGCCTACTTAGGGGACTTCGGGCCCTTATAAGTACAGTACAGTCATGATTGGGGTGATAAGACCCTAAACCCTAAACCCTAAACCCTAAGACCCGGAACCTATAAGTAGGACCGGACTACACACTGCGGTTTACGAACCAGCATGGTGATCGACTCGAGGGCACAGCTGTAGCCCCGTTTGACCGCTGGCATTTAGAGAGGGGCCTCGAATCTTGGTAGCCTAGTAGCTACCTTTTGCCCTTTCTTCTTTCGAGGTTCCCTGAGCAGTAGCCAACCCCAAAAAGGGTACCCTGATTCCTAATTGCCCTAAACCCTAAACCTTAAACCTCAAACCCTAAACCCTAAACGCCCTAAACCCGAAACCTCTCTTATGACGCGGTTACCGGGCTACAAAGGAATGCCGTGCCTACCTTTGCAACTCGGATCCTTCGCATGGCACTTGGAAGGAGCTTTACCTTAGCCCAACGGACGAGGTGGGATGCCCAGATAAGGGAGGTTTAGGGTTCAGGGTTTAGGGTTTTTTGGGTTTTGGGTTTTGGGTTTAGGGTGTAGGGTTTAGGGTTTAGGGTTTAGGATTTAGGGTTTAGGGTTTAGGGTTCTGAAGCAAGCAATATCGGGAGTAGTGTTTTTGTGCTTTGGGGGCGTCTTACGCAAATAGTAGAGATAAGGGAGAGAACATATAGTTGGGTCCTAAAGAACGTACATGGGAGTCTTGTTAATATGAGCATAGAAGTACATGAACCTTCTTTCGGCTTTTGCAGGGTCAGGCTTGTCAATACCAGGCCTCCTTAAGTTGTTGAGGGGTTTCTGAGGGTTTAGGGTTTAGGGTTTAGGGTTTAGGGTTTAGGGTTTAGGGTTTAGGATCACGGAAGTACCTGCCCAAAAACAGCAAAACCAGCCATGTGCCACGAGGTGATCATGAACGCATATACCTCGAGCCTGCCGCTGTACACCCGAAGCTGCGAGCGCGTCGGGCGAAGTGTGTGCGAGCCGCACTACGCCGCCACCAACCACCGGGAGTTCTTCGCGGAATGCTCTGAGGCCTACTTCAGCACTGGAAGATTCCGGAACGACTATTTTCCTTACATTCACGCCGAGCTGCAGGGCTACGACCCTGCCGCGTATGCCATGTGCCAGTCTATCTGGGGGGTTCGGAGTGAAGATGAGATTGAGCAAAGGTACCTCAAGGAATTCTGGCCCCGGTGTCGCGAAGAAGGGTCCGCACTCTGCTTGGTCTCGACGCCGGCCGGCAAGAAGCGCTTCTTGCAGAGCGTTTCGGACGCAGCGCGGGAGAGAGCACAGCGGAAGCGGCTGCAGGAGCTCCTGAGTTTAAAACGAGCGTTTAGGGTTTAGGGTTTAGGGTTGAGGGTTGAGGGTTGAGGGTTGAGGGTTGAGGGTTCATCTTGGGTATCCTCAGCGTCACGGCTGCTGTTCGACTTCTCGAAACCACGAAACAGAAACCTTTGAACCCCACAAAGCCCCCTAAGACTCTTCCCCCAAACCCCCTAAAGCCCCCCCAAAGCCTCATACTCTACCTCCACCTTCTCCCCTAAACCCTATAAACCCGAAACCCTAAACTCCCGCGCACGAGCCCCACCAGCCCCTGACTCGCCTTAAACCCCCCAAAAGCCACGACTCAGCGGTTCGGTTTAGGGTGTAGGGTTTAGGGTTTGGGTTTGGGGTTTGGGGTTTAGGGTGTTAGGACTAGACCCTAAACCCGACACCGGCTCGAGCCAACTTCCTGCTATCTTTTGAAGGGCGCCATCCTCTACTATTTGCTTAAAGAACCCCCCCCCCTCCAGAAAACAAAATCACCGAGATATTCTTTCTTATCCTAAACCCTAAACCCTAAACCCTAAACCCTAAACCCTAAACCCTAAACCCTAAAAGGGCAGCATAGGGATCATTGCTATTGTTGATTATTCTTATTCTCTGTCGTTTTTTCTTTTCATTTTTTTTGGGGGGGAAGTTCTTACAAGCAAGTAATAGTCCTGGTATAGGGGTCATTACTATTGTTTTTTCTTTTGAAGAGTTGTTTTTGGGGGGTTTCTTATAAGCAAAGAGTAGTCCTTATAAGGGGAATATAGGGATCATAACGAACATATTTATTATTATTTGCATATTATTCTTATTATTAGTATTCTTTTGCATGTTTTGAGGGGGCTTCTCTTATAAGCAAACAGTATAGTCCTGCGCGCGCCTTGCGCCCGTCATGGCTTCGCAGCGGCCGCGCTGGGGCATCCTCGGTGCTGGCGGGATCTCCAACGACTTTGCAGTAGGCCAGGGCTGACTCCCGAGTTTTGTTTTTGTTCTTTTTCTTCTAGGGTTCTTAGGGTTTTTCTAGGGCGTATGGTTTTTTTAGTGTTTTTGGGGTTTTTGGGGTTTAGGGATTAGGGTTTAGGGTTGAAGGTTTGTGATGACTTGTCAGGGTTTCGGGCTGGGTTTGGCTTAGGGCTTGTGGGGTTTGTAGGGTTGGCTGCGGGTTGCAGAATCAGGCTTCCAAAGGCTTCGGTTGCATTTTTGGCGAGTTCTATAAAGACTAAAGGTTTCAAAAGATTTCCGGCGGGGACCTTTCCAAAATGGTTTTGGCAAGGCAGGTGGGCTTTGTTCATGGCTTGGCGTTGCATTGCATTGCATTGCATTGCTTTGCTTTGCTTTGTCTTGCCTTTGCTGTGCTTTGCTTTGCCTTGCCTTGCTTTGCTGGGGGCGGGGTGTTTCTTGCCGGTTTGCACTGCTTCGGGTAGTTTCTCCGCACTGACATTGCGCTGCCTGATGCACATGCTGCTGCGTGCCCAGGGATCATCACGGCCGGTGGCTCCATCTCGGCGGTTGGGGCCAGCTCACTGGCTAAGGCTGAGGCGCTCGCGGGGAAAGTGAAGGCACCTCAAGCGCACGGGTCCTATGAGGACCTGGTGGCCGATCCTACCGTGGACGTGGTGTCTATATACCCCTTGGGAATTACTTTTTTTTGCTTAATTATTTAAAACCCAAGAGGATATTAAACATGTTTTGTTTATTAAGGTTCTAAGGGGAGTCTAGGTGTACATCGGTACCATTCACACGATGCACCGGCCCCATGCCTTAATGGCCCTGGCCGCTGGAAAGCACGTGGTCTGCGAGAAGCCCCTGGCTGTGAACGAGGCAGAGGGACAAGAGATCATAGCCTTTGCCCGAGCGAAAGGCCTCTTCCTCATGGAAGCTTGGTAGCCCCGTGGGGCACCCCTTTACCCTTTTTTTGGGGGTTTTTGGGTTCCCTTATAGAGAAAAACGGGTGCCATTATTATAGAATAGGGTCACTGGGCTACCAAGGAAGCCATGTGGACGCGGTTCTTCCCCGTGACCCGAAGGGTACGGGAGATTCTTGAATTCGCCTTTAGTTGGACTTTAAACTTTTTGCGGGTTTCCTTATTGAGTAGGAACTTTAGTTGAACTTTAAACTTTTTGTGGGTTTCCTTAATTGAGTAGGAATGTTGAAGTTTAACCTTTTTGTCCCCTTGGTTATCGAAGAAGTGAGGATTGTGGCAGGTGGTAGCCTCGGGACAGCCCGATGCCTGCAGGCGGAGTTCGGCTTCGTCGCGCCCGGAGATCCCCAAAATCGATATTGGGACCCCGCACCTTCGGGGTACTTGGAAATAGTTGTTTGGTTTTTAGGCATTTTAATTGCTGTGAATAGCCCTTGGGCATTTTAATTCCTAAGAAACAGCAAAAAACATAATTTTTGCTGGGGGTCCAAGTTCAGAAGAGGCACAGGCAGGTGGTGGCATGCTGGACCTTGGAGTTTACCTCGTGCAGTTGGCTGTTATGCTCTTTGGAGCGGCGAAGTGTGATGTCAGGGGCACCGCCGTGCTCACAGAGAAGGGAGTGGACGCCGAGGGTGCCTTGTCACTCTGCTGGAAAGAGGGGGAGGGCTCCAAGGGCGGTTCGGCCAGCTTGATGTACAGTCTTCGGGCCGTGACGCCCGAGAACGCCTGCATCATGTTTGACGGAGGGTACATCACGATCGAGGGCATGCAACACGCGCCCACGCGCGCGACCGTCTCGAGGTCAGGCGGGGCTCGGGGAAAGGTCGAGTCGGAGACCCACACAGTTCCCTTGCCCCAGCTGCCTGATGGGCTCAGGGTGAACCACCCACATTCAGAGGGGATGGTTTATCAGGTTCAGGCTGTTGAGGCTTGCCTGAAGGCAGGAAAGCTGGAATGTCCAGAATACACACTGGATGAGAGCTTGGCAGTCTTGCGGATCATGGATGCCTTTCGCCAGCAAGTAGGAGTCTCTTATCCGGGAGAGTCATGAGATCGTGTACAGCTTCTTGATGTGCTCTGTGGCGCCTCCGAATTTTGGTCCCTTTTGTTGCACCCTCTGAAGGCAAGGCTCTGCTCTATAGCTATCGGAACCCCAAAAGGGACTGGCCGGGACATTGCCGGACCACTGTTTGGATTTCCTGAAGCCTGCTATCGAGGAGGTGTGCTGCTGGCCATGACGGCATTGAATCTTTCGAGGTTAATTTGGATTTCAGGACGTACTGTGGATCAGATTGGGACACCCAGAACCCTAAACTGTAAACCCTAAACCCTAAACCTAAACCCAAAACCCTCCACCTTTCCACCCTCCAGTTCTGTTCTGGATCCAGCGAGTAAGCGGAGGGAGCAGCTGAGCTAGCGTTAAAGGGGCAGAGCAGGCGGCTGAAATCTTTGTGGTGCTTTAGGTAACATTAGATCCTTAGCCTTTTGGTCTTATTGTGTTTCTTAACAAGGCAGCTGAAACTGTTAGTCTATAGCTACCCTCCGAAGTGCAGCCAAGAAATGTTTGTGAGAACACGCCAGCATCCTGAGGCGCTACTTCAAGGAGGATTTCGACTGCAAGGCCTTTTCCTCAAGGAGTTCTCGGTTTATGGTTTGGGTTTAATTGGGTATCGGGTTCAGCGGTAGAGAAATGATCTGGTCGAGCCACGGAGTAGCCGCAAGGCTTCTGCAGCAGCGAATAGCATCTTCAGGTCGTCTGGCTGCCTCCGCTGTCAAAGTTTGCCAGACGACAGGACTCATGAACTGCTCATGCAGAACACGGCCCTCAGAAGAAAGTCATGAGCAACCCGAAACCCGACACCCTAAACCCTAAAACCTAAACCCTACACCCTACACCCTAAACCCTAAACCCTAAACCCTAAACCCTAAACCCTAAACCCTGAACCCTAAACCCTAAACCCTAAACCCTAAACCCTAAACCCTAAACCCTAAACCCTAAACCCTAAACCCTAGCCCTAAACCCTAAACCAACTCGACCTAGGGCTTCTAAGCCACAACATGGGCCCCCGAACCCCCCCCCCCCCCACTTCCCCCAGTGGCCCGCGCCAGGCACCACAGCCACCAGCGCTGTGGAGATTGTCAGCGCTGCTAAGGAGTTTTAGGGGTTTTAGGGGTTTTTTGGGTTTGTGGGTTTTTTTTTGGGTTTTTAGGGGGTTTTTAGGTGTTTTAGGGTTTTTTGGTGTTTTTAGGGTTTTTAGGGTTTTTAGGGTTTTTTGGGTTTTTGGGTTTTTTTTTGGTTTTTTTTTGTTTTTTTTTGTTTTTTGGGGGGGTTTTGGTGTTTTTAGGGGTTTCTAGGGTGTTTAGGGTTTTTAGGGTTTTTAGGGTTTTTAGGGTTTTTAGGGTTTTCAGGGTTTTTGGGGTTTTTAGGGTTTTTAGGGTTTTTAGGGTTTTCAGGGTTTTTAGGGTTTTAGGGGTTTTAGGGTTTTAGGGTTTTTTGGGTTTTTTGGGGTTTTCAGGGTTTCTAGTGCTTTTAGGGTTTCTAGTGCTTTTAGGGTTTCTAGGGTTTTTAGGGTTTTTAGGGTTTTTAGGGTCTTAGGGTTTTTAGGGTTTTAGGGGTTTTTAGGGTTTTAGGGTTTTAGGGGCTTTAGGGTTTTAGGGTTTTTAGGTTTTCCAGGGTTTTTGGGCTTTTTAGGCTTTTTAGGCTTTTTAGGGTTTTTAGGGGTTTTAGTGTTTTTTAGTGTTTTTAGGGTTTTTAGGGTTTTTGGGGGTCTTTAGGGTTTTAGGGGTTTTAGGGTTTTTAGGGTTTTAGGGGTTTTAGGGGTTTTAGGGTTTTTAGGGTTTTTAGGGCTTTTTGGAGTTTTTAGGGTTTTGGGGTTGAGGGTTTAGGGCTTAGGGTTGGGGGTTTAGGGTCTAGAGTGTAGGGTTTTGGGATTTAGGGTGCAGGGTTTTGGGCTTTAGGGTTTAGGGTTTGGGGTTTAGGGTTTTGGGGTTTAGGGTTTTGGTGTTTAAGGTGTATAGGGTTTTAGGGCTTAGGGTTTTGGGGTTTAGAGTTTTGCGGCTAGGGGTTTACGGTTCAGGCTTCACGGTTTAGGGTATCGGGTATAGGTTTTGGGGTTTAGGTTTTTTTGGGTTTGGGGTTTGTGGTTTTGGGTTCAGGTTTTGGGTGGCTTTAGTCTATTAGTCAGTTTGAGGCTCCTTGGTTTCGGGTATCGGGTTTCGGGTTTAGATTTAGGACTTAGGGCTTATAAGTGGTCTAGGATGTAGGGTGCAGACCCGTTTTTCGTCACCTGAACCCGGGTAAGCGCGAGAGGTGTCTGAAACAAATGAAACAATCAGATTCATCTATCGTGCAGCAACTGCCAAACAGAAACCCGGATTCACTCAAAGACTCGGTGCGGTCCGGCGCTGTCCTTCAGGGGCTTTACGCCATTACAAGAAGCGAGGTGCCCACACGCACACTTAGCGTGGCAAGGGTTTAGGGTTTAGGGTTTTAGGGTTTAGGGTTTAGGGTTTAGGGTCTAGGGCCTTGGAGTGGCTGGTGTTCTTGTTCATCAGGGTAGCTTTCTTTGTTCGCGAGCGCGGGGTCTTCGAGCACCCTACGCCACTACGACCAGTAAAGACCCTAGTTGCTAATGACCCTGAAATCTATATACAACAAGAGGATCGGCTCGCAGTAGTACCCTTGTATCCCTTTTTTTACGTTCAAGATTCCTTTTACACCCTGTTGCACAAAACATCCACATTTTCGTCTTGAGTTCCTGGTGAACCTAGACTAGACAAACCCGAATTACCCCAAACCCTAAACCCTAAACCCTTCTAGGCAAGGCCCAGAAGCCGAGAGAACATGCCGAAACGGTAGCTGGGTAGGTTCTTCTCATATTCTCGATGTTTTCCTTACTAGATTTATTGCTTTAGGCCCTCCCATTTCCTCTCATGAGTTCTTAAATCTAGAAAGCCCTGAACCCTGAACCCTAAACTGTTTTAAACCCTAAACCCTAAACCCTAAACCCTACACCCTAAACCCTAAACCCTAAATGACCCTAAACCCTAAACCCCAAACCCCAAACCCTAAACCCTAACTGGAAATATGGCAGGGTCTTGGTAGTTTGGAAGGACCTAGTTTAGGAAATCAAAGCCTGAAACCCCATTTTTTTGTCAAGACCCACCCCTGGAGTGCAAGCGCAAGTTCAGGGTTTCGGGTTTAGGGTTTAGGGTTTAGGGTTTGCGGTTTACGGTTTTTCGGGCTCAGGGAACTTCTCAGCGTTCCGAGTGAGGATCTCGCAGGCTTACATGGTTCACTCAGCCCTCTCGCCACCCCCCCATTCCCGTCCCCCCCCTCCCCTGAAACCCTAAACCCTAAACCCTGAAGGCCCTAAACCCTATAAACACTAAACACACTAAACCCTAAACAACCCTCCCCCCCCACCCACCCCCCCCCCCCCCCCCCCCCCCCCACGAAAAAAACAAAAAAAAAACAAGAAAAAGAAGTGGCAGGAGCTCGTGCAAGCGGGTGCCGTGGTGCTGGTCCTCGAGATGGTTCCAGAGGAGGCCCAGACAGATGGTTGGCGAGCTGTCGGGAGGTCTTCGGAGGTTGCTTGTTGGGCTTAGAGCTGAGTGAGGACACTTTACGCTTTTTGGGATACTATACTCCCCTAATAGAACTGAAAGTGTACACTTTCTTGGGGCTTCTGAAACTCTAGACTCGAGTTTGGGGTATGAAGGGTGTAGCTCAGGTGCTGAGTAGGTCGCTTGTTTTTGGCCCTAAACCCCAAACCCGAAACCCCAAACCCTAAACCCATACCCAACCTTGTTGGGCGGTACGTGATTTATGAGCCCCTTAAAAATCCTAAAGGTTGTTTTTTGCTCTTGTTTTTTGCAACCTCCTGAACATAACTCAGCGCCTTGGGAAGAGCATCCTACATATCAGGCTTAGGGTTTAAGTTTTATAGGGTTTAGGGCTTAGGCACCCTAAACCCTAAACCCTAAACCCTAAACCCTAAACCCTAAACCCTAAATCCTAAACCCTAAACCCTAAACCCTAAACCCTAAACCCTAAACCCAAACCCTTAACCCCTAAACGGCTTAGGGATGAGGAGCTTAGGCTTTAGTCATCGGCGCGGCCTCACGCAGCTTTGGGTGGGAGGAACCCGACATGGCTTAGGGTCTGAGGGGTTTAGGGTGTAGGGTTTAGGGTTTAGGGTCTAGGGTGTGCTTATGTCCCACAGGCGAAGGAATCACCAAAAGTTTAAAGCTCTGCTATGAGGCTCTTGCCCAGTAGGGCCTCAGGGGTTTCAGGGTTTGGGAGTCCAGCTGTGATTGCTGTTCGATGTTTCCGAGCCTTGGGGGGTGTAGGACCTTCGCTGGTTGGGGGTTTAGCGCTTAGGGTTTAGGGTTTAGGGTCTAGTGTTTAGAGGTTAACAGGGCTTGAGGCACGTGCAGACTTCTATCGGGAAGGCTTGGAAGTCTGACTCGCAGCCTACCTTGGGGACTTTCGGACACAACTCACGTACAACAGACGGGAGTTGATGGATGTATCTTGGGCACCAGATGCTGACGACACGTCCGCATTCCAGCGGCCGAAATGCATGCCGCGTCTGATGCCCGAAGCCACCATAAACCCTAAACCCTAAACCCCTAACCCTAAACCCTAAACCCTAAACCCCCAACACGAAACCCTAAACCCTAAACCTCAAGCCTACACTGGCCTACACGCAACAAATCTCATGTCAGCCACTGAACGAAGAGCAGGTCCTTAAGTCCCACAACCCTCAACCCTAAGGTGCCCCTTAGCCCTGCTCAGAGGGGTTTAGGGTTTAGGGTTAGGGTCTAGGGTTTAGGGTTTAGGGTTTAGGGTTTAGGGTTTAGGGTTTAGGGTTTAGGGTTTAGGGTTTAGGGTTTAGGGTTTAGGGTTTAGGGTTTAGGGAGAGCTCCACCCCTGAGCCCTGAACCCTAACCCGAAGGGCCCATGTGCCTAAATATTCCCTACTGGGGCCTTAAAAGGGGTTCCCAGAAAGTAGCTTTCGAGGTGCGCAGACCCCTTATAGGACCCTTCGGGTAATCCTCAACCCTAGCTTGGCCCCAGAGAGATCGGTGGAGCCTCATGGCCGGGGGGAAAGATCGGAAGCTAAACCGTAAGCCCCCATGCTGAACCCTACAAACCCTAAACCCTAAACCCTAAACTCTAAAAGGGCCCTAGAGAGATTGGTGACGCCATGGCGGGGGAAAGATCGGAAGCGTCGGACCCGGCGTACCTGCGGTGGCTGGTCCTGCTGTGCATGTTTGGCTTGGGGCTGATGCAGGCGGTGGGGTGGATGATCCTTGGAGAGGGCTCAGAATCCTTTTGGGGTTTGTTGCCCTAAACCCTAAACCTTAAACCGATGGCTCAGGACCTCTTTTGGGCTCTGAACCCTATCAACCCTAAACTCTAAACCGCAATCCTGTTATGGCGCGTTGTGTGGTGTAGGGATTTGGTGATGGGTTTAGGGTTTTGGGCTTGGGGTTTCGGGTTTAGGAGGTTGTTGCTTGCAGACCCAGCTTTTCGATTCTGTTTCTGCGGGGTTACGTGACGGCAAGTCTTGAAGGAGGGGTGGAGGGCAGACCTGGGAAGAGAGGAGAGGAAGAGGGAGGAAGAGGGAGAGAGAGAGCGAGAGAGAGTTTAGGGTTTAGGGTTTAGGGTCTGGGGTTTAGGGTTTAGGGTTTAGGGTTTAGGGTTTAGGTTTAGGGTTTAGGGTTTAGGGTTTAGAGAGAGAGAGAGAGAGAGAGAGAGAGAGAGAGAGACCAAGGAAGCCCCCCCCCACCCACCGGGCCAGGGATGTTGAGCTGCGCGTTGTTTTGGGAAGTTCCGGGTCTCAGAGATGTTTGTTCAAGGTTTAGTTTAGGGTTTAGGGTTTAGGGTTTAGGGTTTAGGTTTTGGGGTTAGGGGTTAGGGGTTAGGGGTTAGGGGTTTAGGGTTTAGGGCCCAGACGTTGCCTGAGCGTGCGTTACGGACAACACCACCTCTTTCGGGATTCAGGCTAGGTAGGCCCTTTGGGTGTTTTCATGTATGCCCTTCAGGGGTTAAGGAGGATCCAGGAATCTTGTTCCGATGGCTTTAAATACAGGGTAGGTTTGAACTTTACTACCCTGAATCCTCATATCATCCTTGTGAAGCCATAGAAGTTTAGTTTTTACAGGGCTCCCAAGCCTAGCCCAGTTTATGGGGCTCAACCTAGGCAGTTCAGGGCTCCCGCGCGAGCAGAATCCAAGAAGCCTGAATCCCATGAGACTGAAATCCTGAAAGCCTACACGGCACTCCCAAAACCCTAAACCCCTAAACCCCTAAACCCCTAAACCCCTAAACCCCTAAAAACTCTTAACCCCTAAGTCCCTAAACCCCTTAGTTAACCCCTTAGGGCCCTAAGGCCCTAAACCCTGAGGCCCTAAGGCCCTAAACCTCTAAGGCCGTAAGGCCCTAAACCCCTAACCCCTAAACCCCGAAACCTCTCTAAGGCCCTAAGGCCTTAAGGCCCTAAGGCGCTAAGGCCTTAAGACCCTAAGGCCCTAAGGCCCTAAGGCCCTTTAAGGCCCTAAGGCCCCAAACCCTTAACCCCTAAACCCCTAAACCTCTCTAAGGCCCTAAGGCCTTAAGGCCCTAAGGCCCTAAACCCCTAAACCTCTAAGGCCCTAAGGCCCTATAAGGCCCTTCAAGCCCAGGACCTACAGTGCGAATCCAGACATCGCCGCGGCGTATTACGGCTTCGAGAACCCGAAGGCGTCCATCGACATGCTGCTGAACCTTGGAGACGGATTCAGGATTTGGGGGGGTTTAGGGTTTAGGGTTTAGGGTTTAGAGTTCAGGGTTCTTTCTGGGGGTTGGTGTTCAGGGTCTTTGAGTAGGGTTTGGCACCCTGAAGACAGATTTGGGATTCAACGGGGTTCGGGGTTGTTTCGGGGTGGGGGGGGGGGGGGTTGGTTTTGGGGGCTCTCAGGCGGGGTTTTGGTTTGTTTCGGCTAAGATAGAACTTAACCCTAAATCCTAAACCCTAACCCAGAGACCCCCAAGACCAAGGAACTGGGGCCCCATCATGTACTTGCCCGTGGCGCCACTGGCAGGTTGGATGACCCTTGGCTGAGTTGAAGCTAAATAGGTAGGTTTTTTGATGTCTTGATCATGTTCAGCAATGTTTTCGGAGTGTTTTGAGGGCCATCCCTACCTAGCAGAATGGCACAAACGGGGGTGATCTGAAAAGAGGGGGTCGTCTTTGGTCTTGATTAGAAGATATACGCTCCCGATAAGGGTCCAGAAGTTGGATCACCCTCGCAACCCCCCCCCCCACCCCCCACCAGCACGGACATTTATCGATGTGTGGTCCTGAGCCGATTCAAGATGAGCCTCGCTTGCGCAACTTTATGCGAAGTCGGCAGTCCAAATATTATGTCAAGCATTTGTTACCAGAAGATCTGCACCCCGCTTGCCCTAAGTGAACCCGCAAACCATAAACCCAAACCCTAAACCCTTGTCACCCGAAAGCCAGCCCTACCCTAACCCCCATCGCCCAGGAAGCAAAGCCGGGGGTTCTAGTCTTAGGGTGTTATACCCAGAGAGCCCATGCCTTTCATCAAATTAAGCTCCAACTTATGACTTAAGGTAAATTCCTTATTTAAGGGGTATTGGGCTCTTTGGGTAACCCTTTAGCAAGGCCCTTCACTTGGTTTATCATGGGGATCCTAAGGCCAACTTGTTCCATTCTGAGGGTTCCAGCTTATGGTTTAAGGTCAATAGTTGGGCTCTTTGGGTTCAGGGTTTAGGGTTTAGGGCTCTTTGGGTACCCTAAGGATGCATGGTTCATAAATGGTATATACACTTGGGCCGTATATGGGTTCCCGTAAAGCAGCTCTAGGTCCCAATTGCCTCTGGGCTCAACATCGGAGTTTTACGAAAATAGGGGACCCCTATGACAGACCCCGGTTTAGGGTATAGGGTTATATAAGGGTTTAGGGCTTAGGGTAGGATCCCCTTATAGTAAGGACCCCAAAAAAAGGTACCCTCAAGAACGGAAACCCAATAATGGCCCAAGAAACGTTCATAAACAAGGCCTCTGGGCCGCAAAACCTTAACAAAGGAGTCTTTGGGGACCCTAGAGAAAAAGAAGCCGCCCTAAACCCTAAGCCCTAAACCCTAAACCCTAAACCCTATGTCCTTAGTTCAGGGTCTTGGGCTCTTTGGGTAGGGTTCAGGGCCCTCAACCCCAAGCCCTGAACCCTAAACCCTAAACCCTAGGGTCTTGGGCTCTTTGGGTAGGGTTCAGGGTTCCTAGAGGCCCTCAACCCCAAACCCTGAACCATAAACCCTAAACCCTAGGGTCTTGGGATCTTTGGGTAGGGTTCAGGGTTCCTGTAGGGCCCTCAACCCCAAACCCAGAACCCTAGACCCTAAACCCTAGGGTCTTGGGCTCTTTGGGTAGGGTTCAGGGTTCCTGTAGGGCCCTCAACCCCAAACCCTGAACCCTAAACCCTAAACCCTAGGGTCTTGGGCTCTTTGGGTAGGGTTCATACTTGAAGGTTCATGG